CACAGATATTTTATATTATTCATACTAAACGATTTGAACACATTTATGATTTCTAACTTATTCGTTTTATTAATTTACTGAAATATAATTTAATAATTTTGTACAAAATTATTAATAAACGAAATTCATTGCAACTATTTCATGTATATATTGTTGCATTAGAATAAAATTTCTTTAATTCTTTCATTTTCCAAAAAAGAAAAAAAAAGAATTCTTTTAAAAGAAATAATAGGTATAGCAAAGTAAAAAAGATAAATGACATTTTAGAAAAAAAAAAAAAAATATTCATTAATCATTTGAAAAAAAAAAAAAAATATTCATTAATCATTTGAAAAAAAAAAAATTTACAAAGAATTATCTCGCAGTGATACACCAAAATTTAATGTTTATGATAAATTTTAAATTATCAAATATTTCAAAAAAAAAAAAAAAAAATAAAAAACAAAATTGTTATTTATCACTCTTTTTTATCCGTTTCAAATTATCCGATAAAAGAAACTATTTGAAAAAAAAAAAAATTATTTTATTAAAATATAGTAGTAGAAATTTTCCAAAAACATTAATTATTTGTTAAATGTTATGATGTAATTCAAAAAAAAAGTTCTAAATCTAAAAAATAAAAATTTAATAAGCACAAAGTGGTAAGCAATGTTTTTAATGATAAAATGATAATAATTTTAACAAAATATAACAGTAACTTTTTTTTTTTTTTAAAAAAAAAAAGTAAATAAATACTTTTTAATAGCTATATTATTACTACTTCAATAGCAAATTATAACTGATTTAACTATTCTTTTTTGTTCTCTCTCTCTCTGTTTTTTTTTTTTTTTTTTTTTTTTTTTTACTTGAAACTATAAAAAAATGACAAAAATAAAAATATTAGTAATATATTAAAATAATTTTAAATTGCTAAAAAAAGAAAAAATAAGACTGACAAAGAGAAATGAATATAATAATATGAATTTAAAAATGTCACTTATTGAGGTAAATGTACTAAATGGTAATTATAGAAGGGCGAAGAAGAGAGATTCAATAATACGAGTAATAGGTAGAGTAAAATGAGAAAAGATGAAAGGGAGAGAGGGAGAGAGAAGGGAGAGAGAGGGACAGAGAGAGGGGAGAGAGAGAGTTTTCATGTGTTTTTCAAATTGTGAAAAAAGAATTGAAATAGAATCAATATGAACGGAAGAATGAAAGAGCAGTTAACCTTTTCTCTTACCCATTTTCGAAATATACCATCATCCATCCGTAAAAGAATTTAAAAATTTAACATCCTTTCAGCACATTTATATTACCCATTCATTCATCAGAACAAAATGAGAGAGAGAGAAAGGGAGAGGGAGAGAGAGAAAGAGAGAGAGAGAGAGAAAGAGGGAAAGAGGGAAAGTGATAGTTATTAATTAACAATTAACAGGTTACATTTTCCTCTTCATTACTAATAACAATAATAATGAATTTTTACAACTAATATTTTGTCAACATCTAATCAAATGCTATTAAAGATTAATTTAATTTAATTTAGCTTATTTCAATTTATCATTTTTATCATATCATTAATTTCAATTTCATTAATTTCATTACTGCAATATGTAATGAAGCATTTATATCATTTTAATTTTTTATTAAATAAATTATTATTCCATTTCAGAGAACTTTAATTATTAAATAAATTAAAGGTCAGTGAATACTACCATATGATATAATAGATAATAAAAATGCTTTTTTTTTAAAAAAAAAAAAAATTAAATTAGTATGGCTCTAATTAAATTATTTAAATTTATTTATTTTTACTTTTTAAAATAATTATAGCTAAAAATGCATTCAATATAAAAGAAAAATTTGAAAATAATCATTTCAATGCAGAAGATAATATTTTAAGAATTTATAATCAATAAAATATTGCTATCTGTTGTTATTATTATGATTAATTGTGCATACGAGTAATAAATTGAAATATATTTCAAATTTGTAAAAAAAAAAATTACACAATTCTATTTCAGAGGATTTTAATTTAAATTACACATTTCTATTTCGAAGGACTTTAATTTTATGTCAAATATGAAATATTATCATTTTTTTTTTTTTCCTTTTGCACTTTTCTACGCTGTAATAATTTATCCCAAATTTAAATATTTTAGTAATATGTTAGCATTAAAAATTCATTCAAACAATTAATTAATAATAAAAATTCACAAAATTTATAATTTATTTAAAAAGTTCATTAATATCTTTTTACTAGTTTTAGTGAAAAAAAAAAAAATGATAATAATTGAAAATAAAATAAATTTATAATTTTTGAATTTTTTTTTTTTTCTATACAAACCATTCGTTCAATAAAAAATTGGAAGGAAATACTACTTTTAAATGATATTTTTTAGTTTTTTTTTTTTTTTTTTTCGCAATTTTCTTTTATCTTTTATTTCAATTATTAAATTTAACAACAATATTTTCAAAACATTTTAAATAATCAAAGCCCTTTTTCTTTTTGTTTTTCTGTTTTTTAACCTTTTTTCTTGTCCTTTGACCTTTCTTCTTCTTTTTTCTTTTCTGTTCTTTCCTGTTCGTTAATTTTATATGAAGTGCTTATTTATAAACATCTATTTGAGAAAAATTCTAATATTTTCATATATTTTTGTTATAAAATAATACTTTTATCAATTAAAAAAATAAGAAACGATTTTTCATTTTTTCTTGGAAACAAATTTTTGATTATTTAAATTATTTTATTTTGTTAAAATTAGAAAAATAAATAAAAGTTAAAAGTAAAATGATAGCATTTTAAAATAAAAAATGAATTTTTGATTATGGAATGAAAGCATTTCGCTATGGGTAAATCAATTATTTTGTTTCAATACTTTCTTCTTTTTGGCAACAAAATTTTTAAAAACAAAAAAAAAAAAAAAATTACAAAACGATGAAATTATTCCTTCAATTAATTTCTTAAAACAATTAATCATAGAGCAAAATTAAAATTCAGAATTTGAATTTAATTAGCAAAATATTTTTTTTTTCTGAAATGTTAACAGTATTATAAATAGCATTTGATTTTTCAATATAATTTATCATATTTTTGAAATAATATTTTAAATAAAAGAAATGATAATTTTAATTAATTGTTTATATATGTATAATTTTCTTAATAATAATTCAGAAATGGTTTACCCAATTTTAACAACTGAAAACTTTTTTTTTTTAATTTCAATAATTATTAGTTCGGAAATATTTATATTGTTACTGTATTTGGAAGATTAAACTTTTTTGATTTGTTGTCTGAATTTATTATGCAAAATTACTGTAATCCCTTAAATATTTCATTTATTAGTTATACTCTCTCTCTATCTCTCTCTCTCCCTTCTTTTATTAGTTTATCAGTTATTTACTTTTTTTATTAAACATTTGGTTGCATACTGTAGTACTACTATAGAATTACTGATATGATTACTGATAAGATATGAGAAGGAAAAGAGCAAAAATAGTTTAAATTTGCAATTTACTTTTTCGTTTTTTTTTTTTTTTCTAATATATAATTTATAATTTTTTAATTTGTAAAATATTTTTATAATATTTGCAATAAAAAAAGAAAAAAAAGTTTGCTTTTTATAATAAATGCAAAAATCAATCGTTTGCTTTTTTTTTTAATTAGATTTTTACCCATTTTGAATTTTTTTTTTTTATCATTTGAGAACAATGGATTTATTAAAATTTATGATTTAAAATTATTTTAGATAATTAATTTCAACTTATAATATATGTGTTATGATTGTGATAAGTTTAAAATTTCATTTCAAAAAATAAATTAATAAATAAACATTTTGAAATAGTGAACAATCTCATACTTAAATTTTATTCTTTTTTTTTTCCTATCAAAAATTATTGAATTTAAAATAATATGAAAAATGAGAAGAATGAAATTTGAGATAAATGTTAATTTAATTTATTTGAACATCGTTTTTTTTTTTCGGATTGAAATGAAAAGAAATATTAGATTTTTAGTAAAATAAATATTATTTATTTACTAACGATTTGAATTTATTTTTAAGGATATGGAAGTGATCATTTTTTATAATTATATACTATATTATTATTTAAATCAAATTTATGTTATGTTATCATCAAAATTTGTTTTTTTCTTCTTACTTGTAAAACTAAAATTTCTTTCCTTTTTTTTTTTTGTAAATTTGTAATTATAATTTTAATTGGTTATTAGATTGTTTAATTTTACAACTACTATAATTGAATTGAATTAAACAAATATATATATATATATATGATAGTATTAATCATTGACTAATTTAAGGGTTGATAATTAAATTAATTAATAATTGGGAACATTAATTGAAAAATTGCAATGAAATTTTTTCAAATTTTATAAATAATTTATTTAACTTTTTTTTTTTTTTTTGTCTACTATATGAAAATTAATTTTTGAAATATAATTCTATCTGTGCTATTTAGTCTAAACGTTTATTTAATTATTAATACTTTTCTAAACTAATATATGTTTTAACATTTTATTTCATACGTGAAAAATGCGTGAAACGTGCGTGAATTTAATGAAATAAATAATATTTAATAATTATCATTTTTGATTTTTTTTTTTTTTTGTTTGGAAAGAATTTATATAATTTCAGAATGGCATTTATAAATTTGGAAGAATGCATGGAATTGTATTATTTGCGCAAATTTTGAAAATATTTATTAATATTTTATTAATGAAATGAATTTAATGATAATTTCATATAATTTTAGTACACCTGGAATGAAAAATTCAATTTTTTAACAAAATTTTGTCTTTTTTTTTGTTGTACTTAAATTTTTGATCCTAAAGCCTTTTTTATCTTTTTTTTACCAGTACCTTTCTATTTTTTTTTTTTTCAATTTTTTGATTAGTTAACTAAAAATAAATCTCAAAATGAAAAAACAAAAAAAAAAAAAAAAAAAAAAGAAATGAGCAACCTGTCGAAATTAATTAGTATTAATAATGGAAAGGTAATACAGGTATGAGGGAGTTATGCCGGTTAAGGATATTGACATCGCCATTGGTACTAGTATTATTATTATTGTTAAATTCTATTGCTACTGTTAAAGCATGGAATAAATGGAGTTTTAATAAATGTAAGTTATTAAGTTATAAATGATATAAGTAAGTTTTAATCGATATAAGTTATTAAGTTATAAATAATATGAGTAAGTTATAATGAATATAAGTTATTAAGTTATAATCAATATATGTAAGTTGTTGAATTGTAATTGATATAAATTCTTAAGTTGTAATTAATAAAAGTTATTTGAGTTATAATCAATGAATGTTATTTGAGAAGAAAATAATAATTAAACATTTTAGGAAATTCAAAAATTATAATTTTCTAAAGTAATAAATTTACGTTAAATTCGTTATTGAATAATAATAATAATAATAATAAATGTAAATTATTGAAAATGCATGAAATTGAATTGAAAAAAGTTAAAAATATATAATTTTATAGATAAGCATTTTTTTTATTATTTTATAAATTTATTTTTGTAAATAATTTTTTTTTTTTTTTAAATTATATTTATACGGTTTTATCACACTTTTATCTATTGTAATTTTAAAATATACAAAAGAAGACAATTTTAAAAATTATTGAAATAACTGAAAATTTTTGATAAAAAATAAAAGTGAAATCAAAATTTTGAATTTCTTATCAAGTTAGTGTAATAATTTTACACTATTATGATTAAATAATAGATATAGTTTAAATTTATTTATTATTTTTAATACATTTAGGAAGGTTTAAATTTGAAATAAATTATATTTGTAGAAAATTTAATTAAATTTGATCATTTTGTATATGTATTATATTTCAGATCAAACTGTCGATGACTACTATTCACCTTGTTAGTTTCATAATTCCTAAATGAATATATTTCAATAGCTTTAATTAAAATAATTTCTTTGAAAAAAAAAAAAAAAACAAACGAAAATTTAATTTTCAAATAATTTCCATTTTTATAAATTAATTTCAATTTCACATTGTAATGCTAAAAATTGTTCAAAATTTATGATTTTTTCTTTTTTTTTTTAGTAATTTCTTTCTTTTTTTTTTGGATTTTTTTTTTCTTGCAGAAATTAAAAAAGTTTTTTCATAATTTTTAGCCAAAAAAATTATTTTTTTTTTTTCTAAGATTATTGTTATGTAATTAAAAAACTTTTGAGATTTTTAATTAATTAACTTAGTGCTAAAAATTAAAATACAACATTTTCCTTTTTTTTTTTTTTTTCAAATTAAAACTTCTATACATATCTTTTAGATTAAATAATTATATTAAATTAACACTTTTTTTTTCTGATTTATCTAAAAACTAAATTATAAGCTATTAATTATCTAAAATAGTTGTTAGTATGGAATATTTTTCCTTCTATTTTCCTTTTTTTTTCAAATTAACTTATAACCATTTTTTTTTTCTTTTTTTTTGAGATTAACTTAAATTAATTTTTTTTTTTTTTTTTAGTAAATTAACTTTAACTTACCTAAAAAAATAAAATATAAGTGTAATACTTATCTAAAATAGTCATTAGTATGGACAATTTTTTTTTTTCTTCATCCTTTTTTTAGCAGTACAAATTACTATTTATCCAACGGAAGAAAATATTTATGAAGGAAATGATGCAACGTTTAATTGTCGTGCACGTACTTCTGACGGTGTCACACATTCGGAAGTACGTTGGACACGTTACAATGCACCAATGCCTAATTCAGCGTATGAAGTAGACGGACGTTTAAAATTTTCATCAGCCGTATCGTCTGATAGTGGACGATATATTTGCTCAGCAAATATTGGCGGACGAACTTATGATGCATCAGCTCAGTTAAATGTACAACGTTGTAAGTTTCATTGAACAGAAGAGAATACGTATCAAATTTATTAAAATATTTTTTTAAAAAAAAGAGAGAGAATTGATAAAAAATTTTAAAATATAAATGTTAAATATAAAAAAAAATATCAAAATATTCTAATAGCAATTTTTTTTCCGTTTTTTTTTTTTTTAAATTTTTTTAAATAACTCATACAATATGTAAGTATTAATGTAGTCATCAAGCTTAATTAGTTATATTTTAATTTTAGAATTTATTGTTGAATTTTTTTATACACTTTTATGTTTAGCAAAATTAAAAATAACACCGTCGAATTATATAATTATAATTAGTTACATTAATAAAATGAAAATTAAATTAAAACTTTAAAAAAGGAATTATTTTTTTTTTTTTTTTATACGTTATATTTTAAAAATAAATGTAATAAATTAATAAATGACCATTATTAATTATATATTAATTCATCTTATTTACATAGAACTTAAGTTTTTTTTTTTTTGAAATAATTATTTTTTTCTCTCTTTTCAACTATGATAAACTGATATTTGATAACAGTTTTGTTAAATATTTATCACTTATGATAATATTTGCTTTATAATTAAATTACTTTAAACGTTAACAAATACTTAACTTTCATATATTTTCGAAGGGAAATTTTCTTTTTAATTTTTTGAATTTTGAAATGCTAGTTTAGATAATTTAAAATATAATTAATTGTACATTATATGTGTGTATATTAGGAAATGTGTACTTAAAATAGATGACAAAAGAAAATTTAATTAATAATTATAATTAATGATTTTGACCATTCATATGCAAATCAATTACTAACAAAATAAATAGTTAAATTATTAATTACAATTTCTAATTAAAATTAAAACAGTATAACTGATCTAATCAAGAATTTATGCTTTTATAGTCTTTCAAAAAAAGTTTCATTTGAATTTAAACGTATGATATTATTATTATTTGAAATAATTAAACTGTTTTTATCTTTTTTGGTAAATCTGATAAATTTCCATTTATTGGAATTTTAATTACCGTTCCGGAACGAAAAAAAAAATGGAGAAATAATATTATTACATCATTTTACACATCAATCATTTCTGAAATTCCATAAAGAAATGATTGTTTTTATCTATCATTGAAAAAATTCTTTCCTAAATTAGTACTTAAAATATTTTGTGATCGTTAATTGTTATAGACAAACTTATGTTAAAAAATAAAATTTAAATTTTATCTCTTTAATGATTATTTCTATCATATTTTATTCTAATTTCTAAAATTTAATTTAATCATAAATTAATTCATTTCTCTTACGCTTTTCAAATTTATCAAAATTCATATTGTCATTGATATTATAGTAATATTTGATAAAAAATATTTCAAATTATGTATATATATATATCAACTTTTTAAACAAACACATAATTTAATTTAATTTAATATAATTGATTCAATTTCAATTTATTCAGTAGTATAACAAATCAAATATTTGTGTATTGTTTTAAATTTAATATGTTTTGAACAAATAAGATAGACACGTACGCTTAATGTGTGAAATTAAAATGACGTTTTATTTTTCTTTTATAATTAACTTTTGACAAATAAAATGACCAAAAGAAAGTAAACGAATAAATTAAAATAAATTTTTATTGAAAATAATAAATGAAATGTTTCAAGCTTATACATATATTAGTAGAATTGTTAAATAGAATGCATCGTGAGAGGTGAAAGGTGGAAGGTAAAAGGTCAAAAAAGGCAAAAAGCAAAAAAATGAAAGTAGCGAAATTGTAAATTTGTATTTAATTATTATTCATCAAATTATTTTATTTTATTTTTTTGCTTTTTCGTTGTTTATCATAAAAATTTTTTTTTAAATACTATGCATTCAGTGAAGTAACATAGAAATTTATAGAAAAGTACAATGGAAATTGAATTAAACTTGTTTTGCTTTTTTTTTTTTTTTATTTTTCTTATTTTTCTATTATCTGTTAAGAAAAATAATGTTCGATAATTAAAAAAAAAAAAACAAGAAAAAAAATTATTTGCCGGAAATGAACCTGTTTTTTCTCTTTTTATTTTTTGGGTAAAAGCTGGGAAAAGAAGAAATGGGTAAAAAAATAAAGTATATGATAAAGAGGGAAATGTAAATTATTAATTCAAATAATTAAAATAATTTTAATAATAAATAGAAATCATACGTTAGCAGAAGTAATACACTAATTTCAAATATTCTAAAAATAAAAGCAAAAAATAAAAAGTTGGAAGGAGAGTTAAGTTAGTAATATCTTTTTATATTACACAAATTTTTCGTAGAAATTTTGCATTTCAAAAAAAATTATTTAGAAATTTCTTTTTTTTATTTGCATTTTAAAATAACTATTAATTAGAATTATAAATATTCTTTGTTAATATAAAGGTAATTTTAAAAAAAAAAAAAAAAAAATTATCAATCGAAAAAAATTATTTCTTTTTTTAGAATTTTGTATTTCTAGAAAAATTTTTTCATAATTCTAACTAGTAATTATTTTAAATTTTTGAAATTCTGAAATTATATTTCAACCGCTGATAGTATTACTTAATTTCAATGTTTTACATTTTTCATTTTTCAAACTTATGACGAATAATTTTTTGGAATGCTTTGTTCAAATTTCACTTCCATTTTTTCTTTCGATAATTTGAATTAAATTCAAATTAAAACGTTTATCACTAATTTAAATATTTCTAAAGTTACTTGTTGCTGTTTTTGTTATTGTTTTATTGTTATTGTTTCCGTAAAAATGAAAGTAAAAAAATAATGTATCATTATTGATCAAATTGAATCAAATTTTATATTAAATTATTTTTGTCATATCAAAAAGAAATCTTTTTTTTTTCACTTACAGTAAAAAAAAGAAAAAAATTGTAAATTTTTTTTTCAGCTAAACTTAATGTTAGTACTATGCATGGAAGTTAATGATTTAATTAAATTTCTAATTAAATTATTAGTAAATTTTATTGAATAGCAAAAATCATTAAAATCGATTACATTTGGAAGAAAAAAAAAATTGTTCCCATAATAATACAAAAATTAAAATAACGAAAAAAAAAAGAATTGAAATTTCTGTTTTACATTCATTTCCGATTGTCTTATTTTGCTTTTTCTTTAAATGATAAGTTTTAATTGAGTAAGGTTAGCATAATATTTTGAATTCAAATTAATAGTAATTACTAATTCAATTAATAATTTTAATAAGTTCAGCATAATATTTTGAATTCAGTTAAATTAAATTAATATTTTACTATAAACTTCCAATTATTTCCTGTTTTAAGACAGAAATAATCTATGAATATTCTTTAAAAATTAAATTATTTTACAATTTTACAATGCTAATTTCCGGTTGTTTCATGATATTTCGACGATAAATACAAAAAAAAAAAAAAAAACAGAAATTTAATGAAATGAATTTTGCTAGCTATTTTCAAATGAATTAAATAAGCAAAGAAAAAAAAAGAGATAAAATAGAAATATTTGAAAGGAATAATTTCAAACTGGCAAATATATTTACAGGTAAAAGTTTCATTTCTTTTTTCTTCTTTGTCATCTTCAAGGTAAATTAAAAATTTTCAATATAAATAATTATTTCCTCCTTTTTTTTTTCTTTTTGCTTCTTCATTCCTTCATTCCTCACTATAGATGGACCACAAGAGTTCCAAAATATCCTACCACAAACCGGTTTATGCCGGATTGATGAAAGAGCTTGCGGTAATAATGAATGTGTTAAAACTGATTATGTTTGTGACGGTGAACCGGATTGTCGAGATCGTAGTGATGAACAGGTAGACCATTTCATTCTTGTATATATTTTTTCTTTTTTTTTTAAATAAATTTAAAAAATTTTTTTGAAAAAAATAAACAAACAAATATGTATATTAAATACTACAAATTAAAGTATATTTTAATTTATATTTTAAAAAATGCTATTGAAATTTATCTTATTATTAAATGAATTTTATATAATTTATCTAATTATTAAATAAATTTTATTAATCCTTTTTTTCTTAATATTGCAACGAAAAATTCGGATAATATTAGCACCAAAACTAAATTGTAATATTTTTTTTTTTTCTTCTTTTTAAAATAATTGATGAATTTATGGTTAATTAAAATAAAGAAATTAATTTGCTTTAAAATATTTAAATCTTAGAATTAGAAAAATTGATAAATTTGTAAATTTGTAATTAAAATAATAAAATTAATTTTATTATAAAAATGTTTCAAATTATAGAATTGTCCATCGTTACGTTCATGCGAGCCAAATGAATTTATGTGTACTAATGGACGTTGTGTACAAAAAATGTGGCTCTGTGACGGTGACGATGACTGTGGTGACAATTCGGATGAGCAAGCATGTAGTCATCGAGCAGCATCTGATGGTTGCGCGACAAGTGAATTTAAATGTCGCGATGGACGACAATGTGTACCGCTTAGCTTTCATTGTGATGGTACCAATGACTGTCAAGATGGATCTGATGAGGTTCTTATTTCTTTTGTTTATTTGTTTATTTTTTTGTAGGAATTTAAAAATATTCGAAAATATTTGAAAATATTTTATAAATAACACATTGTTATTTCAATGATATTCAATATTAATATAATCATTTAGTAGTATTTCGTGTAAGTTTTGTGATGTAATTTTTTTTTTTTCGATATTTAATTTCACGTAATTATTCGATGATTATGACGTATGATCATTCTGCGTTATTCAGTACTGACGTAATGTGATCATTCTGCGTTATTCAATATCGACGTAATGTGATCATTCTGCGTTATTCAATATTGACGTAATGTGATCATTCTGCGTTATTCAATATTGACGTAATGTGATCATTCTGCGTTATTCAATATTGACGTAATGTGATCATTCTGCGTTATTCAATATTGACGTAATGTGATCATTCTGCGTTATTCAGTACTGACGTAATGTGATCATTCTGCGTTATTCAATATTGACGTAATGTGATCATTCTGCGTTACTCAATATTGACGTGATCATTCTGCGTTATTCAATATTGACGTGATCATTCTATGGCATAACTATTATGCGATATTCAACATGCTCTGGCTTGATTACTCGATGATACTTAATATGACGTGACGATTTTGTGACATTAATTGTTCTACGTACTAAATATAATGTAGTTATTCTATGACGTGATTATTCTGTGACGTGATGATTCCGCCATATTCACTATGACGTGATTATTGTGCGTCATTCAATATGACGCAATTATTCTACGCTATGCATTTCATTGTATTAAAAAAGTTCTTCTCTCTTTTCACTTTTTTTTTTTTAAACATCTGCAAATAATTCAAATCTTATATAATCATAATTAAAATGATTAAATGCTTATTTACTGTTAAATAATCGAAAGAGAAAAAAAAAAAAAAAAAAAAAAACGCAACAATAAATTTAAACAAAATTATAATTATCAATTAATTAACATTCATATGTTTTATTTAAAAATAAAATCTTTCATTTCCATTTTACAGTAAGAAAACAGAGTTTTTTTTTTTTTTTTGCATAAATTAATTGTCAAAGAGAAAAAAGTGAAATTTACAAAATTTTATTTAAAGATTGGATGTGTGCAACCGACGATTGTACAACCACCGGAAACGAATAAGCAGGTGCATGCTGGTGGTACCTTTCAGTTAACATGTAAAGCGGTAGCTGTACCTGAACCATACATTAATTGGCGTCTAAACTGGGGTCCTGTTTGTAATCCACCAAGGTGTACACAACATTCTGAGGGCGGTCTTGGTACACTTACAGTGAAAAATGCTCAGTATGTGTTTCTCTCTCTCTCTCTTCTATAAATATTTGATTAAAAAATACGAAAAATAATTCATTTAAAAATTTACTTCTTTCTAATAATAATAATTAATTATTCCAGTTTTTCGATTAATTCGAAATAGAATGATATGAAGTGAAAATATGTGTAATTTATATTTATTAAAGGAATAACAGGAATTAAATAATTAGAAATGAAATAAATGGATGATCAATTAGGATATCATATTTTATTAGTAATTAAAATAAATTTGTGTTTATTATGTAACATAAACATTGATAGAATTTCATAAATTATAGGAATAAAAAAAGCTAAATAAATAAAAAAGAAAGTGGAGAAATGCTAATATAAAAAATATTATTGAAATAATTTTGAAATTACAAAAAAAAAAAAAAAACACTTAATATGCATATTACAGCTATTATAAATGAAATAATATAATGAATTTGTTTTTTTTTTTTTGTTTTGAATAATAAATTTAAATTTAACCATTTCTAAAATTCATTGGAGTATTTCAAAAAATAAAAATAAAGACACTGAATAAAGGATTTTAACATTTATTCAAGTCTTTTCCTCATCTTTCTTTCTCTCTCCCTCTCTTTTGCTCTTCTATTAAAAGAAATGAAATTTTTTTTTTTTTTTTTTTTGCAGTAATTTATAAAATGCTAAAATGCTTCACATATGAGTCATTTGCATTTCTATTTCTATTAAAATATCTTTTAAAGTGAAAAAGATAAAATTTTGAAATATTTTATTTAAAGAAAAAAGTTTTCTCTGTAAGATAAATGAAAATGTTTGAAAAGTGAGAAAAGAGGGATAAATTAATGTAAATTGTCTAGAAAGACAGTTGTCTTTTTGATAAATATTGCACAAATTATCTTTTAAAATTTATTTGTAAAAAAAAAAAAAAAAAAGGAAACGAAGCGTAAAGAAGAAAAGAAAAAAAAAAGATTGAAATGATAGATTATTGAATTATTTATTTTAGGGCAAATTTTTACAAATTTGTTTTCCTCCTTTTTTTTTTTTTTTTTGTTTTTCTCTTCAACTGAAATTTTTATTTAAATTTTCATTTTTTGTTTTTGTAAAGTAACAAAAAACGAAAAACAAAAAAAACAGAAAAACTGAAAAGTAATGCAAAAAAAAAAAAAAAAAAGAAGGAAAAAGAAATGAAATTTTTTTAGGAAAGTAAATGTATTTATTTAAATGTTAATTAAAAAAAAGTTATAAAAAGAATTAAATTGCTATAATTTTACTTTTTGAATCTTTCTTTTTTAGTGTTTATAAAAATTTAATTTAAAAAATTTTAAAAATTGAACAAAAATTAAATTTTAGATCAAAGGAATTGTTTTTTCTTTTATCCTATCGAGATTGTTACTAAACAATACCAAATTTTTAATAATTTCGAATTAAAATTAGTTCAATAATCAAACTCAAACAGTTCTGTTTTAAATGAATGAAATATGAAAATGATTAAAAGTTTAATAATTGAATAAATTTTCAAGACCACTTGATCAAGGTGCTTACACCTGTGAAGCAATTAATGTAAAAGGTAGAGTGCTAGCTACACCGGATTGTATCGTTCGTATCGTTAATATTCCGGCTCCTGAAATGCAAACACAGTGCAATATTGTCGGTTCTGTAAGTCCAATTCCGGATCATACAGGTCGATGTCAATGTAAGGTTAGCACTTTTGCATTATTTAATTATTTTTAAATTAATTAAATTATTATTTTATTCAATAAAACGGAATTATCAATTTATTATATACAATCAATGATGCAACAAATTGTAATTATTAATATTATATTAATTAAATAAATCAAATAAAAATAAACAAAAAAAAAATATTTTATTAAAAAATTAAAATTTTCAAATTTTTTATTTGTTTTTGTCTTCCAGCCATTGGTAGTAGGTTTAAAATGTGATTCATGTAGTCAAGGAGCATTTCATTTACATGAAAAAGCACAACAAGGTTGTTTCAAATGTTTTTGTTTTGGTGTCACTGATCAATGTCAATCATCTTCATGGTACAGAACAAAAGTAAGTTTGCATTTTCTTTTTTTTTTTGTTTATAATTATAAGAAACAAAAAAGTAAACAACAAAATTGAATAATTAAATTTTCGGTTATATTTATGATTCTTAAAAAAAAAAAAAAAACATTTAATGAAATATTTATTCCACTCTTTTTCTTAATTTTCTTTTTTTTTTTTTTTTTTTTTGCAAAAGATAGTATTTCACAGAAAGAAAGAAAACAAATGTAGTATTGATTTTAATGAAATTTATGCTTGAAGATTAAATTTTTATAAAAGAATTACATATGAAATTATAATTTTAAGTATTTAAGAAATTTTTTTTTAAAAAATTAAAATTATGATGAAAATATCTGAATGTATCTGAAATTTTTATCATTTTTTTTTCTCAGTATGAAAGGCTTATTTTGATATGTTAAAAAAGAAAATATGTGAATATTTTAAGATAATTATTATTATTTTTCAAAGCATTTGAAAGTTTTGAATAGCTTATCAATTGTAAATAATTTTTTTTTGCAATCACTGATAAATTAATCGAAATAAGAATAAGATAGTTATTTAATAGTAAAAATCATAGTAAAGACTAAACAATACGAAATAAATTCAATAATAAGTTTACTACTGATAGTAATTGATGGAAGTTGTGATAATGATATAAAAGTTCAGTGATAACAACTGATAAAAAAAATTGGATTAATCTGTTTAATAAGTGATATGTTAAAATTTGTTGGATAATAATATGAATTAATAATTTGTGCAATATTATAATTTTTATTATAAATTAAAATTTGAATTATCAGTTAATCAGTCTTATCACTAATCAATCATTTTATTCTATGTTTTGCGTTCAGAATATCGGTTGCGTAAGTTTTAAATTGATTACTCTCTTTACGCACTATTTGGTGTGTGATTAGTTTGCCAAAATTGCACTCATTTTTTTTTTCTCCGATAAAATTTGCATAAAAATATTTAAAAATTAAAAAATTTCTCAAAACATTTTGAATTTTACTCTAATATTATTAGTTTGCAAATAGTTACAATTATAGAAAATTTTCAAAAATTTTCTTTTATGCACTATTTGCTGTGCTTGTTTGTTTTGCTAAATTGCACTTTTTTACAGTAAAATTTTTTTGAAAAAAATTTTTTTTATAGTTTAAATAATTTTTTTATAATATTTTTTTATTTCCTTTTAAATTCTTGTTTGATTGGAGGTAAATTGCAGAACGAGAATGAATAAATATTCTAATAGTAACAAATATTTAGGAAATAATTATTTAGATTAATAATGAACAAATAAATTTTTTGATAAATTTTAAGAATTCAGATGAGAATAATTAAGATTGATTTTTTCTTTCATACTTTTTTTAAAAAATTTTTTTTTATCTCAAATTTTTAATTTTATTAAGAATTAATAATAAGCAAGAAGAGAACTTCTTCAATTTTATTTTTTCTCTTTTTTCACCTAATTAAATTAGCATAAATAATTTTTAAAATTTATTAAAAATATTTATAAATATATATGTATAACTGAATAATATGCCATTAAGCTTTCAGAATATATTTTAAATTTATTGTTTACTTGCAGAGAGGACTTTTTTTAAATAAAATAAATCAAAAATTGTAGCATTGAAATTATTTCATTGCAAAATTTTTAGAATTATTACTTTGTTTTTCTCTTTTTCTTTTAAGAGAAAGAAGAAAATTAGAAATTATCACAGATTTCTTCTTGCTTTACAATTTTATTTTTTACTTTTTACAAAAAAAAAAAAAAAAAAAAAAAAGAAATTTATTGTTTTTATAAAGCTATAAAATAATTTATGATGCACTTTGTTTGTTTGTTTGTTTCTTTTCTTTTTTTAATTTATTGTTTGTTTGAAATATTGTAGCACATAAAAATTTATTATATTGTATTCGAAGCTCATCACTTTTTTTTTTTTTTTTTTATTTTGAAATGTATGTCATTTTCAAATTTTTTTTTTTTTTTATTTTCTAGAATTTCATTTTTTTTAAAGGACAAACTTATTTTGAACGGTGATTCACGAGGTGTTCATATATCAGATATCAATGGACAAATACATAGTTCACAATTTGATTATAGTAAACCTGGAATGGTAACATTTAATGAACCATCATATCAAACAATGTACTGGAAATTACCAACACGTTTTCTTGGAAATAAGGTTTTTAATTTAATTAATTAATTATTTTTATTAATTAGGCATAATTTACACAATACTAATTGTTTGGGTTAATCTAAATTTTGAAGAATATTAAAATCTGATTAAATTTTAATAATTTAATTTTAATTAGATAGAAGAAAAAAATATTTAAATATGAAAATATTATCAAATTTTACTTCAACATACATTTTTCTTCTTAATTTTACAATATTTAAATTTTTTTTTTTTAAACTCATATTTGAAGTAAGACATATTTTAGTATATGAAATGGCTTATTTTAAGTAATATAATTTAAATTAAAATTGAATACTATATTAATTATTGTATTTTGCAGCTAACAGCTTACGGTGGTGAACTTTCATTTGATATACAATATTCATGTGCTGGTTCTGTTAATAATGAACCATTAATTGTTTTGAGAGTAAGTCTTTTTCTTGAAATATTTTTTTTTTTTTAATTATTTTAATTAATTTTACTAATATATTAAAAATAAGAAAAAGAAAAGACAAATCAGAATTTAAAAAAAAAAAAAAAATATATGTAAGGAAAATAGAAATAAAGGAAAAAAAAAGCTAATCAATCAGATTTGATAATTTTTAATTTACAAAAAAAATTTCATATTTTAAAGCAATAACTCGTTACACGTAGAGATACTAATTAATTTAATAACTTAATAATTATCACATGAGTGATTTGAGTTTATTCGTTATTGAATTTCTATTCAAGTAAATAAAAATAAATATCTAATTGTGAAAATAAAAAATGATGCATTATGTTTAATAAAATTAAATTTTACAATATTAAACTCTAAAAATATAAATAAACTCATAAAGTCATTTCAATTTATATCTAAAATTAATACTGTTCATAAGAAGTGTCTGTAATTACGATTGTTAATATAATTGATAAAAGATGATGATAATTTTTAATGATAAGTGATATGATATAGATTAGTGATATTTTATTGATAAGCCTTGTTAATATTTTAGGGTAATGGTATAACATTGGTACATCGTCCGATTGATACACATATGTTTACCTCTGATCAAATAATCCGATATGCCATCAATACATTTGAAGTATGTTTTTCAATTTATTTAAAATCAATTTTATAAATTTAAATAGTATTATCTCTTCATATCATTTAACTGATAAATACAATGATAATTTTATTATTGAAAATGTTATAATTTAAATATTACCATTTCATATTCTTTTTTTGAAATATTGAATTGAAATTTTCTCCCTTCACTTTTATTATTATCATCAATAAAATTTATCATGCATTATCATTCCACCAATCAATGATAGCTACACCATTATAACATCGTGCATCATTATTACCACCACAGCTGTCATTATCACTAATCATTATCATTATTTATATCATCTTTTTTAGCATCATTTTCATCATTATTGTCATTTTAATAACCTTTATCATCATTACTAACATTACCATCGTCATCATCATTACATCATTATTACCACCACAGCTGTCATTATCACTGTCGTTATCATTATCATTATTTATATCATCTTTTTTAGCATCATTTTCATCATTATTGTCATTTTAATAACCTTTATCATCATTACTAACATTACCATCGTCATCATCATTGAATCATTATTACCACCACAGCTGTCATTATCACTATCGTTAACATTGTCATTATTTATATCATCCTTTTTAGCATCATTTTCATCATTATTGTCATTTTAATAACCTTTATCATCATTACTAACATTACCATCGTCATCATCATTACATCATTATTACCACCACAGCTGTCATTATCACTGTCGTTGTCATTATCATTGTTTATATCATCCTTTTTAGCATCATTTTCATCATTATTAACATTACCATCGTCATCATCATTACATCATTATCATTATTGTCATTGCTATCACTGTTACTGTTACCATTATCATTATCACTAATACAATCGTCATTGTTATTATCTTTATTTGCTGTATTCCTATTTCATATTTTTGATTTATTTAAATAAAAAACAATTTCTCTTTTTTTGAAAAAATGATTTTTATCTCCTCTAAGGAAAGAATAATTTTCTTAATTACAGGTAAATTTTGAAGAATTAGATGGTAGACCAGCAACACGAGAGAATTTAATGATGGTACTTGCTAATATTGATATGATGTTAATTCGTGCTACACATTGTTATGGACAACAATATACAAGGTTTTATACTATTAATCTTTAATTTCTTTAATCTTTAATTTTTCAAATTTAATTTTTATTTTGAAAATTTCATTTTTTTTTAAAAAAAATTTATTACTCTTTAATTGAATTATATATTTATACTTTTTTTTTTATTGAAATATCTTGAATAAAAAAACGATTATATGAAAAGTTTATAATTTTCAAATTATTATTAATTAATTTTGTTTGAAAAAAAAAAAATTATATTATAGACTTGGTGATATTACCTGGGAAATAGCAGTGAATCGTGATACACAAGAGAGATTTGCTTTAGAAGTAGAGCATTGTTCTTGTCCACCAGGTTTGTCCTCTTTTTCTCTTTAATTTAATTTTATTAATTAAATGCAACTAATTCTTCTTCTTCTTTCAACGAAATTAATTTTTATTTCATTTTTAATTGTTTGATAAATTTAAAAGACAAAACAAAAACATTTGTTAATATACATTTTTTTTTCTGTTATTTCTAATAAAAATAAATAAAAGAATAAATTATTTTATTAAAAATGTATTAAAAAATTATATAGAATTAATTTTATTTATTACTAATAATTTTTTATTTTTATTTAAATTGCACTTAAATAATTAACTTTATTAACTTTTAAAGGATATACTGGACTATCATGTGAAACTTGTGCACCAGGATATGAACGTTCACCACAAGGTCCATACCTCGGTACCTGTATACCTGTACAACACCGTGTACAATGTTCAACAAGTGGTGCACGTAGCATGCATCCTGGTTATGATGGTAAATGTCAATGTAAAATGTATGCGGTAGGGACGTTATGTGACCGTTGTCCATCTAATACTTTTCATTTGTCACCACGAAATCCACAAGGTTGCATTCCATGCTTTTGCTCTGGTGTCACCCAACAGTGTACCTCTGCTAGTAGTTATTATCGAGCTCAGGTAGCTATCGATTATAGACGAGGTGCTACTGATCAGTTGGAAATTACAACCAGTGATGCACATAGTCCATTTACGTATGTATTATCGTTTTTTTTTTTTAAATTAATTTAAATAATCAAAGAAAAAAGTCCAAGAAAATATAAGTAATACTTTAAAAGAAAAATCAGATAATAACTAAAATTAACTTTTTTTTTTTGTATAAATAAAATATTTGTTTGATAATTTGTATAAATAAAATATTTGATAATTGTATAAATAAAAAAAAAAAAAAATATTTGTTTGATAACTTAATTTTATTAATTGATTTTTTTAAAGTGTGAAAAATAGAATAAATAATTTTGTATTATTTTTCAAAAAAAAAAAAAAAGGGCTGAAATTAAAAAAAAAACAATGCCAAAAATTTAAATAAAAATGACGAAGTTAAAATAAAGTGAGAATAATTAGTTTTAATTAATATGTGATAAATTCATTTTGTATAAATAAAAAACAAAATAGTAAATAAATGTTATCGTAAATATATGATTATATTACAATAGAAGGAAAATAAATTTTAATTTTATTATCATTTTTGATTTTAAACAAATAATATTTTCGTTTTCTTTTTGTTGTTAATTTAACTTATATTAGCATAAATAATAATAAACAATGATGTAATTTTATTTATTTCTTTTTTTATAGACCTCAATCACAAGCACAAATAACAGGAAATGATATAACATTTGTATCATTTTATGAAATACCCGGGCAAACATTGTACTGGAAAATGCCAAAGCAATTTTTGGGTAATAAAGTTACCAGTTATGGTGGTACATTAAAATATGTCTTTCGTTATTCTTGTACTGGACCATTAAATATTGATGCAGATGTGATCTTACGGGTGGGTATCTTTTTATTATTGTTTGTTTATTTGTTTGTTTTTGTTTTCATTTAAATATAATACTAAGTAAACAAATAATATGCTAGTTTTTTTTTTTTTTTTATTAAACTTTATGTTATTTATTAAATTTCTTTCTTTTTTTTTTTGATTCATAAAATTACTGTCAAATAAATTTCAATATGAAATAAAATTAATTTTGAAAAAAAGAAAAACAATAAATTAATAAGTACATATGTGTCGATATTATTATTGAAATAATATTTAAAAAATAAAATTTAGACTAATAAAACTAAATTGAGTAATTGAATAAATAAATCAACCTTATGAACAATTACTTAAACTAATTAATTTTTAGTAATAATTAATTAATATATGTGCTAAAAAATTATGTCCAATTATTTTGCTTATAATTTCAAAAAAAAAAGTTCCAAAAATTTTCATTTTTTATATGTCTTTTGCTCGATTCAAACTACTACGATTAAAATTAATTTCCACCAAAGAATTTTCATCTTTAAAAGATATCGAACGAAATAGCATTTTCCGCTTTTTTTCGAAATAGCTTAGTTCCGGTTTTTTTTTTTTTTTAATTTTTATTTATTTAATAAATTTTAGGGTAATGATATTTCATTACAATATACAAATCATCAACCAATTTATGCTGATCGTGAAAATACAATTGAAGTAGTTTTATTCGAAGATCATTGGCAACGTATGGATGGACAGTTAGCCACACGTGAACACCTGTTGATGGCATTAGCTGATCTCGATAGCTTATTAATTAAAATGAGTTATACGGATGATTGCTCATCGTCCTCATTAATTAGCGTTTCATTGGATTATGCTGAACCGCATGCAACCGGTGGTGAAATTGCTTATGAAGTAAGCTAAAAATTTTATTTATAATTTTCCTTCTTTTCATTTTTTTTCTTTTTTTTTTTTGTCCATTCTTTTTTAAATTTATTCCTTTATAAATTTCTTTTTAAACTTAAATTTTTTTTTAAAATTTATTTTAAATTCATAATTTATTTGAAAAAAAAAAAGTTAAGTATAATAGAAAATTAGATTAATATATCATTGATTAATGAAATTAAATGATTGTTTCATTGTTATAAATTTGAGAAAATTTTTTGATTTTTAATTTTTTAATTTATTTTACGTTTTTTTTATCTTTTTTTTTTCTCTCATTCTTTTTTAAATTTATGATAGAAAATTGAGTTAATATATCATTCATTATTTAAATTAAATGAATTAGATTAAATTATTTGTTTCATTCTTATAAATTGAAAGATTTTTGAAATATATTTTTTAATTTGTTGCACTTTTTTTTTTTTTCGAATACTTTCAAGCATTTTTTTTTTCTTATTAGTTTCAATATTTAGTAAAGTAATAAGTAAGAATAAAATTTTTTAAATTTGAATTATATGCATTTTTTTGTTCTAGGAATTGATTTTTTTTTTAAGTGAAAAGAAAAACTGAAATAAGCATATTGAATTAAAGGTTGAACAATGTCAATGTCCGCCTGGCTACATTGGTACATCATGCGAAGATTGCGCACCTGGATATTCTCGTACAGGTGGTGGATTATATCTGGGTCTTTGTGAACGTTGTGAATGTCATGGACATGCTTCACAATGTGACAAAGTTTGTTTGTTTTTTGTTTTTCTCTTCCTCCTCCTTTTTTTTTTTCTCGATTTTTAATTTAATAACTGAAATAAACTTATTTTTAAAAATTTAAAATATTGATTATTGAAACTTTAATGGAGAAAATGATTAATATTTTTACAAATTTTTCCACAATATTTGCCTTTTATATTAATTTATTTATTACTTCTTTTCTAATAAACTTTTTTCTGTAATTTTACATTTGAATTTTTTTTTTAAAAAAAAAAAAAGTAATTCCACAATATTTATAAATTAATTCATTTATCACTTCCTTTATAATAATTTTTTTTTTATATATATTCTTAGATTTAAAGAAAAAAAAATCGAATTCCTATGCAATATTTACAAATTATTTTATATTATTTCATTTATCATTTCGTTTATAATAAAATTTTTTTTTTTGTATTTTTAAATTTGAATTTAAAGAGAAAAAATAATTTAAAATAATAAATGATTTTAAAAAAGAATTTGTTGATAATTAGGAGCATGGCTTCTGCTTGGATTGTCAACATAACACTGAAGGCGATCAGTGTGAACGTTGTAAACCAGGATTTACCGGTGATGCACGCCGAGGTACACCGCATGACTGTCAACCGGCAGCGACAAGACCGCCATGCATGTGTAATAATCATTCACCGCGAGGATGTGATTCATTTGGTCGATGTTTGGTTTGTTTTTTTTTTTTTTTTTTTTTTTTTAAAAAAAATTGTTTTAAATTAATAATAAAAATTAACCAATCAATGATAAAAGTAAATAAACTAAAAATAAAGAATCATTGCATTGCTAGAATTATGTTAAATTGAAAAAGAAGAAAATAAAATGGAAGAAATTGAATTTATTAACTTTTTGATGAAATTAACATTTTCTTGCGTGAAAAAAAAAATCATTTGACTGGCATTGCTAAATTCAAATTTATTAATTCTTTAATTAATTAATTAAGTAAATTACATGAAAGAAATCATTTAAGGTAATTTTGATATTGTTAATAATTCAAATTTATTATTTCTTTAATTAATTATTTGATGAAATTACATTTTTTTTTTTTTTTTTTTTTTAAGAAAAAATCATTCAAAATAATTGATAAATCCAAATTTTTGTTAATTCTTTAATTAGTCAATTAATTAATTAATTAGTGAAATTACATTTTGTACAAGCGAAATCATTTAAATTAATTGCCAAATTCAAATTTATGAATTCTTTAATTAATTAATTGATTAGTGAAATTAGATTTTGTATGAAAAAAAAAAATTGTTCAAGATAATTGACAAATTCAAATTTTAGTTAATTAATTAATTAATGAAATTATTGTATTTTAGCTATGTGAGCATAATACAGAAGGATATCACTGTGAGCAATGCAAACGTGGATTTTATGGTGATGCATTACGTGGTACACCATTTGATTGTACGCCATGTCCGTGCCCGTAAGTTTAAATTTTTACGTAAATCTAATTAATTCCTAATTTCATATATTTTGTTATACCACGTATTTTTTTTTTTTTTTTTTTTACGTAATTTTATAATAAATGAAAAATTTCAGTGGTACATCAGATTGCTTCTTAGATACGTATGGTCAAGTACAATGTCGTAATTGTCCAGCTGGTTTAACTGGACGTTTATGTGAAGAGTAAATTTTTATTTAATAAATTTTGAAAAAAAAAAGAATTGTAATTTATCCTTTAGTTTAGTTTTTAAAAATAATATATTAGGAAAATTATGTAATATAGTTAAAATAATATATCTTTTTTAAAAGTTATTTGAATTATTCTATATATTGGCTAAATTACAAATTTATTAATTCCTTAATAAATTAGTTAATTAATGAAATAACATTACCTGAAAAAAGTAGTGTGCTTTTATTAATTAATTAAATTTGTGTTTTTTTTTTCTTTTTTCTATTTAACTCTTTTTTTTTTTTTATTTAATTGTATGTATAATACTATGAAAATAAATTAATGTTGTCAAATTTTTATTGACAAATTATAGATGTGCACCAGGTTATACACGTTCACGTTCACGTGCACGTATTGACGAAGGACGTATTTGTGAACCAATTGGACATGTGGAAGAAACAAATATCGTATTTGTACCAACACCTGAAGGTGATCGTAAACGTAAACGACGTTTTCGCTTGCAGCGTAATCGCTTACAGCGAAATCGCCGTTATTATCTTCAACGCAAATCATATTATTAAGCAATAAAAATTTTTTCATTTTTTTTTTTTCCTTTTTTCTTTTTTTAAAAAATTCGTTTTAAAAATTTGAATTTTTTTTTCTTCAAAATTAAATCTTTAATTATTTTATTTTATTCTCAATTCATTTATATTCAAATGTATGTGTGTTCGTTTTCTTTTTTTTTTTTTTGTCACTGTGTTTTAATTAGCACTTTGTTCACCTGTGTTTGTTTCTTTTTTTTTATTTTTTTTTTTTTTTTAGTTTTTTTTTTTTTTAATTTTTTTTATCAAACACATAAAGCACAGAGGTTATTAGCCAAAAAGCATTTTTTTTTTTTCTTTGTAATAATTTGAATTAAAATTTGCACAAATCATTTCAAATCATTAATTTCACATAAATTTATTTTGTTTTAGCATTTTAAAAGAAAAAAATTTTGAATAAATTAATATATATGTACGAGTATAATTTAATTTATCAATTTTTTAAAATAATTTGAATACCATCAAAATTTACAATAGTTAAATATATTTGGCTAAACCTCTAATATTATAACTTTTTTTTTCTCAAAAAAAAAAAGCTTATTATCCCAATTGTCATTATACACCTATTGCTATTTCATTTGGTCATTGAAATTTTTGTTTGGCTACAAATTATTTCAAATTAATTGGCCCACTTTGATTTAAGTTTATATGAAAAAAAAAAAAAAAAAATTTTTAAAGCAGTTTACATAATTAATATTTTCAAAAGTTATATTTTATCGAAGAAAAAAAAAATTTATTTAGTTTGAATTTTAAAATACAGAAAATTAATTCTACACCAAACAAATTTCAAATTCTTACTTACTTTTGTAGCTTTAACAAATTATTATCATTATTACAACATATTTGAAAAAACGTATTGCTAATTGGCAACAAAAAAAAAAAAAAAAAAAGCAATTTTAATTAATTGTCTCTTCTCTTTTTTGTCCTCTTCTTTGATAAGAACACACCTCAGTGTTTATCACTATTTATCACTGCTTATCACACGATACATACGTGTCGTCCGTTTTGTCACCTTTTTTTTTTCCTTTGTAATTATATGCAATTAATTATTATTATTAGTTATAATTTAACAGTTTTTACAATTGACAAATATAAACTTTATTCGAAGTGCATGGTGTTTTGTTGGAATTTAAATTAACTAAAGAGAATTTCGCCGTATATTTTGTTTGTTTGTTTGCTTGTTTGTTTGTTCATTTGTTTTGCTTGCCTGCTTGCTTTTTTTTTTTTTTTATTCTTCATTTAAAAATTTTAATCCTTCAAAAGTTTTTTTTTTTTTTTAAAGAAATTATTTCAAAATTTAAACATCAAAATTATTAATTTCATCAAACATATCTTTATTATCATAAATTTTAGTTGATTTCCATAAAATTATTAATTTAATCAAAGTTTCAGATTGTCATTTTAACTAATTTATCTTTATCTTTATAAATTTTAGTTGCTAATTCATTTTAATAATTAAAAAGCTTCCTTATTTCATTTAATTAGCATATATAGCAGCTAATTTAAGTTCAAAATTATTTTTCCCCTTTTTATTTTGTTTATATATTGTGTGTGTGTGTCTTTATTTAAATGTATCGTTGATTATTCGATACAAAATAATTTCATCATTTTTTATTTTTTAATTATCTTAAAATTTATGAATTTACATATATTTCAAGGAAAATTTTTTTTAAACAAAAAAAAAAAAAAAAAAAAATAGAATGAAATAAATAAACTATAAATTCTTTGAGTTGTTTAATTTCATAATAGTATTTCAAGAAGAAATATTAAAGAAAATCTTAGGAAGACTTTCAGTATTTCTCTTAGAACAGTAATATCATTTTAATAATAATAAAAATAATAATAGTAATGATAAATTAAGAAATCATTTAGTTAGCTATTAATTGCTGAAATATTTTTGAATTCAGGTCAAATTTTAGACCTATTTAATAATAATAATAATGAGTTATTTAATATTCATAAATTTGAATACCAATAATATCTAAGCTATCATAATATAATAATATTTACAGATGTAGAATAAAAGTTTTGTAATAATAACAATGACAACAATAATAATAATAAAATCGTATTACCTAGAAATATAAAGTGCAATTAATTATTCTAAGGATACATTTAATATTTAATTATCATATTTATAATTTTATTTTATATTTTAAAAAATATATATATACTCGCTTGAAGCATGGTTAAATTTCATTAATTTTGATATTATTTTAAGTAAATATAGAAAAGGCATGTTCTCACTTAATTAATTTAAATTAATTAATTAGTTTATAAATAATAATGATACCATACATTTGCATGAATCATGAAAATAATTGGAGAATTTCAGAAATATATTCTGCTTAATTTATCTACCGGAATACGTTTTTGAAAAAAGGAAAAAAAAAAAGAGTGCATTGAATTTATCATTTCAGCATACGGTCCACCAATACGTGTACAAATTGATGCCCCAAAGAATTTACACATTCCGGTTGGCGGTAGAGCTCGTTGGTTTTGCCGAGTTATCGGTCAACGGGTATCATTCCTGTTTATCGTTTTTTTTTTTTCTTTTTTTTTTTTTAATTAAATTTTAATTGTAATATTATTTGATAATTTCTAGGTTGAAAATTCAGAATTCAAAGTTGAAATCAATTCCTTTTTTTCTTTAAAAAGAAAAGAAATGTTAAAATCTGAATTCTTTTTTTTATTAAAGTAGATTGTTTCATTCATAATAATACTTTATTTATTTTATCATAAAAATTCTTTACTTAGTGATCTTTTTCTCATTTAAACTTTTATTTGAATTTAAATTTAAAATTTTTAAAACACATAAATATTTCTACTATTCAATTAAATATTAATTAAATCATTACATAGCACCTTATCATCACTTCTTTCTTTTGTTTTTTGTTTTTTTTTTTTTCATTTATTTTCTCATTTCTACTATCAATTGTTCTAATTAATTTAATTAAAACAATAAATTAAGATGATCATTTTAAGAGTGCTGGAATTCGATTACAATGGTCAAAAGTTGGTACTGCTGGATTGCCAAGTAATGCAGTTCAGTATGATGGTGAGTTAATTATTAACGGTGTGCGAGAATCGGATGCAGGTCAGTACCGATGTACCGGATCCGGTGATCATCAGTTTGCTACCGATGATGGTACACTAAATGTTGAAGCAAAACCACGAATTCCAGGTTTAATTTTACATGTATAAATCATCTCACTGATAACAGATTAATGATAATACTGAAATTAATTTCTTGAATTATCAACAATTCAAACATCTCGATATTAGCATGATTCATGTCACATCTCGATATTAGCATGATTCATGTCACATCTCGATATTAGCATGATTCATATCACATCTCGATATTAGCATGACTCAGCTTCTAGTGTACATTAATCACACCCTACCCTATCTTCTGGTATATTTGAATTTAGCGTAAGATTTATGTTACATCTCGGATATTAGCACTGTTCATCGTGATATTAACATTATTCACGTTATATCTTGACATTAACAACGTTTAGTCACATTTCGACATTAGCACTATTCACGTCACAACCCCGATATTAGCATTGCTCATGCTATATCTCGACAATAGCATTATTCACGTCATCTCGACGTCAGCGTTGCTCACGTCATACCTCGGCAATAGCATTGTTCACGTCACATCTCGGCATTAGCATTGTTCACGTCACATCTCGGCATTAGCATTGTTCACGTCACATCTCGGCATTAGCATTGTTCACGTCACAACCAGATATTAGCATTAATCATATTTTGCTTTCACTCACTTTTTGTGCGTCACATTGATTGAATTGAATGTTTCAAAGAAGAAAATTCTTCATACAATATTAAAATACAATAATATATTTAATGAATTGTATTTATTTATTTAAATTTATTGCGAACAATTTTTTTTTTCAAGCAGAATCGACCATTTGAATTGTTCCTTTTTTTTTCTTTAATTTGCTAAATATATCTAAAAGTTTAATTCTGCTTAAGCTCACCTTTTTCGTCCTTTTTTATTTTTGCTAAAATTTAAAGTTATTTCTTTTTTTCCACTCTTTCTCTCTCTCTCTCTCTCTTTTTACCTCTTTGTCTATCGCATATAAATTTATGATATTTTTGTTTTTCCTTCAATGCAACCTTTTCCTTTTCTTTCTTTGCTCTAATAATTTGCTTTTACTTTTAAATACTTAGAAAAAAAAAAAAAAAAAAAATTTAGCGGAAAAGAAAAACAAAATGAAACTTTAGTTATTGGCAGACCGCCACCAGTAATGATTGACCCATTGGAACAAACAGTAAATGTTAATGACATGGTTACCTACCGTTGTTGGGTACCTGGTTTATCATCTTGTGAACTGAAATGGTACAAAGAAGATATCGGTGGACAGCTACCGCATGGTGTATATCAAACCGATGGAATGTTGAAAATTCCGCATGCGCAATTGGAACATGCTGGCAGTTATATTTGTACCGCTTCTAATGAATATGGCATTGGGAAATCACCACCTGCACGTCTAATTGTTCAGAAACGTAAGTAAATTAGTAACAATGATAGTAGTGATAACAGTAATGATAACACTAATGACAATGATATTGATAATAATAATCGTAATAATAAGAAAACAATAATAATATGTACAATGAAATATTTTGTAAATAAGAAAATTAATTAATCATATTTGATGTTATTTTAGAATATGATTAATTTAAAAATTTTTATTCTTTTCTTTTCTTTTTTTTTTTTTTGTTGTGATATGAAATAGATTAAATTATTATTTGTTTGCAAATTCATAACATTATTAATAATTCTTGTACTTCATAGAATTAATTAATTAATATTAAGAATTCTTGTATTTCGTAGAATTAATTGATTAACACTAAGAAATCTTGTATTTTATAGAATTAATTAATTTATTTATATTAATCTTTTTTAAAATGTGTCATTTTTAGACTAATAATTTTTGTATTGCATATAACTAATTAATTATTCAATTGCTACTAATCTTATTTAAAATGTGTCATTTTTAAATTATTTGTAATTCTTGTAAAATTAATTGCCTAACTGATTTTTTTTTCAGGTGTGTGGTTTTTTTTTTTTTTAACTATTAACAATTTTTGCGTTACGTATAACTAATTAATTAGTCAACTGATATTAGTTTTATTCAGAGTAATTTTTCTTTAACTAAAATTTTTACAAATGAATTCAAACTAATAATTATGATTATAGTAAAACAAAAATAGGGAATATTTTACAATTTAATAAATTTATTTTGCATGAAGCATTTTTTTTTTTGTTTTGTTTTGTTCTCTTCTCTTTGCTATTGCATGCATTTGCAATTTGCTTGCTTATTTAATAATTAAGATTTAAAATAGCAAATAAAAAAATAAATAAATAAAATGCATAAACGCGCGTATACATGAATAATATATTTATAGCAATTCAACGTCCTAGAATTGATCCGCAAGAAAATACCGTTGCGGAAGGTGAACCGGCACGTTTCCGTTGTTGGGTACCTGGTGATCCAACAGCAATTCTAACATGGAAAATGAAAGGTAATGGTCCATTACCACCTGGTGTACAACAACACGATGGCATTTTGAATATTCCAAGTGCGCAACGTCAACATGCTGGAAGTTACATTTGTAGCGCAAGTGATCCGATAGGATATAAGCCACCAATTGATAGTCCTGTAGCTAGATTAATTGTTAGGCCAGGTAAGTAAATAAATATTTATACGATTTCTTTTTTTTTTTTTTTTTTTTTTGTTTCAAAATTTTTTCTCAAAAAATCATTAATTTTTTTTAAGAAATTATTGTTTTGATCGTTATGTTTACTTTTTTTTATTTCATTTAAATTTTGGTCTAATTAGTATTAATATAATTTTGATCACAATTAGTAATAATAATAATGGTAATACTTGCATTAAAACTATTATCATAGTTGATTGAGAGAGGAGAGATTATAAGAGATAGATTTCCGTTTTTCCGATTTATAGTTTTTTTTTTTTTTAATTTTAATACAACAATGAAAGATATGTATGTATTTGTAAGTTGTTCATACTTTATTTTTTAACTTATTCTCTTCTTTTCTTTTGCAGCAAGTAATCCATTGGTTGATCCACCGGAACAAACAGTAAGTGAGAATCAACCAGCTCAATTCCGTTGTTGGGTTCCGGGTAATCCAACAGCAATCCTTCACTGGCGACGCGCTGATGGTCGTCCATTAGGTTATGGTGTTAGTGATAATCAGGGAATTTTATCCATACCTCGTGCGCAAATGTCCGATGCTGGTGAATATATTTGTTCTGCACGATCTGTTGATGATGGCACACCTGTTGACTCATCACCAGCTCGTTTAGATGTTCAAAAGCGTAAGTTTATACGTTAATTACGTAAATGTGACTATTTATTTATTTTAAGCAAAATATGATTATGAATTTAATGTTTAAAAAATTTGAAATTTTTAACTCATTTTTTTTTTTTGCTAGCGAATTGCTATATTTTGAATTTGAATTTTTCAATAATTTATTCGGCGAAAACAAAATGAAAAAGGAAATCCGAAACTTCAAGATTTAAATTTGAATTGATTTTCGAAAAATATTTGTGGTAAAAAACAAACAAACAAGCACTTCTACTAATAAAAAAAAATTGATCTACTGCATTTATTGATTAAATATTGGTTTAAATTATAGAATTAACGTTTGTCTTTGTTTCATTACAATTAACATTTATCTTATCACATTACAATTAATATTATCACGTTATCATTATCACGTTACTTACGTTTCAGAGTATTGCAGAATATTTCCGCCTTATTTGCACTCACTTATTAGTTTTTTTTTTTGCTATAATATTTCTTGAAAAAAGAAAAGCTATATTTTATTGACTTTATTTGTTTATTTTTGTTTTTCGTATTTCTTTTCTTTTACTTTTTTTTAATTTATTCTAATCCATTCATTTTTTTCTTTTTTCTTTTTTTTTTTTTTTTGAAGCTTATGAATTACATACAACTGAACATTCATTGATGGGAGAACAATCAAAAAATTTGCAAAAACCGGAAGTTGATCCGAAACATGAAATGGTATATGAAGGTGATCCGGCTATGTTCCGTTGTTGGTTACCAACAAATTTAAATGCACATTTGAAATGGTCGAGAGCAGATGGTACACCATTACCAAATAGTGCATTTGATGATGGCACTGGTACATTATACTATTTAAGAGCACATGTATCAGATTCTGATTTCTATGTTTGCAAATATATTACGGAAAATGGTAGCAAAATATTGGAATCGGATCCGGTTCAATTAAAAGTAAAACCGTATGAACAAAGAAAGGAAATTAAAAAACGTAATCTTTTATGTTGCTTTTTTCTTTTCTTTTCTTATTTTTTTTTTTTTGTTTATTTGTTTACTTATTTATTTTTATTTTTATTCTTTTTTTTTTCTTCTTGAAATAATTTACTTTAAAACATTAACATTTTCTAACAATTATAATATTTTTATGAAGAAAGAAATTTCTAATTCAAAAAAGAAAAAAAAAATTTCTGTTTTTTCATAATTTTTTCTTGCTTATCTAACAAAGTAAATAGTTTGATAAAATGAGTTAACTTTTTTTTTTTAAAAAATATTTGTAAGTTAAATTAGTTTAAATGAAATAAAGAAGAAAAAATTACAAATTGATTTTTTACCATTTTTTTTCCTTTTGAAATTTTACATTTAATCAAAATCTTTAATTTGCATGCAAAATAATTTGAGGATTAATGTTTCTAACAATTTTTGTTATATTTCTGAAGAAAGAAATTTTTATTTTCATAAATTTTTCTTCTTTTCTTTTTTTTTTTTTTTTTTGCTAATCTAATAAATAATAACAATTAAATAAAGTAAACTAACTTTGATTTTTTAATTAGTATATTTAATTTGTATGTCAAACAAATGTAAATAGAATTTATTTTTTTTTGTTAATCAGATTAATTTAATATTTATTTGAGAATGAGTTAGTACAAAATTTTTTAGATATTTAAAACTTAGTTGATTATTTCATATGCATTGCACTTACAAATATAATATATTATTTTAATAATTCGATTTGAGCTGTTTATTTTATTCTTTTGGATTTTAGTTAAATGATAAAGTTTTAAAAAATTATTATTGGAGATAGAATGAGCAAAGAGAGAGAGAGAGAGAGAGATCAAAAAAGGAAGAAAAAAGTAAAACAAATCTCAATTTAGTATATGAAAAAAGATTATATTTTCGAATTTTCAAATAAGATGTACTAAATTAAAATTATCTTAAAAAATTAAAGTCATCAAAATATTAAAGATTGAAATTACCAAAAAAAAAAAAAAATAAAATTGTAAAAAAAAAATAAAAAATTAAAATTATGAACATTTTTTTGCAATTTAAAATTTCATCAATTCAAAAAAAAAAAAAAAAAAAAAAAAGGAAATTAATTTTAGAAAAGAAAAATTGAAAAATAAAATAAAGCAACAGCAAATTTTAAGAATCACTTAAAAAATATATTTATAAATTAGTATAAAAAAGGTAAAAATTTAATGCAATTTCAATTACTATAAACAATAAATACAATTAATTTTGTTAAAATTTACACAACATTTTACAGCAAATTTTAATGAATAAATAAACAATATGAAATTTTTATTATAACTAGCTAATTAATTAATTAATGAATTAATTAATTAGTGCTTTCTCATTAATTTTTCCTGACATATTCTAGTAGAATTACCACGAGAAGCACCAATGATTGATCCAATGGAGCAAATTGTTGACGAAGGTGAATCATCACAAATTCGTTGTTTTATATCTGATAATAAAACTAATGTTATACTAAAATGGAGAAAACAAAATGATGAATTACCAATTCATGCAACACAGAAAAACGGAATTTTGTTTATTACACAAACGGAAATTAATGATGCCGGAAACTACATTTGTACAATGGATGATTTCCGTGGTACACCAATCGATTCACTTCCGGCACGTATTAACGTAAGACAACGTATGTTTCTCTTCTCTCTCCCTCTATCTCTCTCTCTCTCTCTCCCTCTTTCTTAATAAAAACATTTAGGATTTTAAAATTTCAGTATTAAATATGAAATTACTGAGTGTTTTGTTCATTTTTTTTTTACCTTTATTAAATTTAAAAAAGAAAAAGATAAAATAATAATAATAGTAATTAAAAATAGTAAATTGTAAAAGCTAAGTAAAGTAATAATTAGATAAGAATAGAATGTAAAATTAATGAATTTTAAAAGTTAATAAATATCAAATATGAAAACGAAATTTAAAAAAAGAACTAAATTTAATTTTTTCAACTACTTTTTACTGTAATTGAATAATAATTGAAATTTCAATTTTAACCCATCTTTTTTTTTCTTTTTATTTACCAGATCACTTCTTTTCTAACTATTTCTTTTTTTTTTTTTAAAAAAAAAAGGACAAAATTAACAACAAATTAATTTGATTAATATTTGCTTCATTCATTTGCCCTTTTTTTTTTTCATTTTTACTTTTCATTAATTTAACATTTTCTAAATTTTTTTTTTCTAAAATATGAATTAACTTTTTTTTACACTAAAATGATTAACTAAATTAATTTTAATTTAGCAAAAATTTATTATGTTAAATGTAGAATACATAATAAACTTTTTTGTTGCATAAAATTTAAAACGAAAAATGGAGTTAACGAAGTATTATAGACGGAAAAATACCGGTTGTCCTACCGATATCATTAACGGTCAACAAAGGTGATTTGGTACGTTTTCAATGTTATCTACCAGATAAACATACGCAAATGCTTCGTTGGGGATTTAAGGAAAAAAATGGTCCATTACCTGAGGGTGCATATGTATATTATGGTGTTTTAACAATTGATAAAGCACGTTTAACTGATTCCGGAGAATATATTTGTACGGATGATGAAACATTACAAAGTGCTGCACCGGTTACTTTAACAGTGGAAAATACTGGTGATAATAATGATAGTAATGATAATGATAATGGTGATGATGATAGTGATGAAATACAAGAAATAGAGAATATACATGATAGTGATGAATTTAATAATCGTATGAAACAACAACAACAACATGATAATCATGATATTAAACATGGAATAATGGCGAGAAATGATTATGATGAACATGGCAATAATAATGATAACAATAGTAATCATGATTATGATACTAACCATCATATTGTTAAATACGGTAACTGCTTGTAATTTTGTTTTGTTTTAATTTATTTTTTCTCTTAACTACTTTTCTTTTTCTTTTTTATTTTCGTTTTCTTTTTTTATTTTTATGGCATTTATTTATTTTGTATTATTTATTTGTTTAATTTAAACAAAACAAAAAAATTTTTTTTTCTTAATTGAAGTTAATTTTTTTGCAAATCTTTTAAAAAATTTCATTGATTTGTTTAGGTTTAATTAAAATTTCGATTTTTTTTTATTGAAAACTAAGAAAAGCAATTCTTTTTTTTTTTCCTCCTTCCAACTAATATAAACTGATTATAATTTTGAAAATTTTTGTTAACCATTAGAAATTTTTTCTCTCTTTTATTCACTAAATAAACAGCACTAATAATTTTTATGAAATATATATAAAAAAAATAAACAACACTGATAATTTGTATGAAATCTAATTTAAAAAATTTCTCTTTAATTTAAAAAATTAATTTCTCTTCACAAAATCTAATAAAAAAACATTAGTTTTATTTCTGTTTTTTTTAAAAAATTTTTTTGGTTTTCTTTCTTTTTTTAATTAAATATGTTCTTGGGTTTGGATTATTTGTTGCAATTGAATAATTTTGGCAAATAATTATAATTGAATAGTAATTGCAGTAACTATTATGCACAAAATAATAATATGCACAAATGACTAATTCAAATTTGAATTTCAAATTTTTGTAATTTATAATTAATTATCGAATATATTTATTAATGGTAGAGTTATTTATAGGTGGTAAACCACCACGACCAATTGCAACACCAAATGATCAGGTTGTTAAAATTGGTGAAGTAGCACGATTCCATTGTGATCCAAACAGTGATACACCAGCTACCATTCGATGGGGTTATGAAACTCCCGATGGTCCATTACGAGGTGATGTGGTACCGGAAGGTAACGATTTAATCATTCATTCAGCGGATCACTCACATGCTGGTGAATACATCTGTATTGCAACCAATCAGTATGGTACCGGTGAAGCTGAACCTGTTCGACTTCATGTTACCGAAAGTATATATATTTCAAAAATTAAAATTTTATTTTTCATAATTTTTTATTTGAAATCAATCAAATTGTATTGAAAATTTTTAAATTTCCAATTGGAATATTGAAATATACCTTAAATTGAAAAAAACCAATTTGCATATATATTTTTTCTTTCTGTTATATATTTGGATTTTATATGTTTATGTTAGAATTATCTCAAATGAATATTTGATAATTAATTCATTTTCAGTTTTATTCTATTGCAATTATTAATTACTTTATTGAAATAATTTTTTTATTTGGTTGCAAAAAAATAAATAAAACTTGAAATAATAATTAAAAACTAAATTTAGCTTTTCTTCTTATTATAGAGGAAGAACCACCGACAGCACGTGTGGTACCACGTGCCTGGAATGGACAACCAGGTGATAAGCATCAATTCCATTGTATTACTACCGGCTCTCCGAAACCAACTATAATTTGGACCGGACCAAGTGGTGAAGCATTACCTGATGATGTCACTGATATTGGTGGTGGTTTCTTGGATTTCCAGAATGCTCGAGCTGATATGAACGGTGATTATACGTGTACGGCAACCAATATTGTTGGTGAGGCAAGCGATTATGGATCCGTTAATATTGGACCATCACTTACCGTACGTACCAGTCCACCTGGTCCACGAATTGTACTAACTGTTGGTGAACCATTGGAGGTTAAATGTGAAGCATTTGGTGAACCGGAACCGGAAGTTGAATGGTTGCAGTAAGAAAATTTTATTTTTCCGTTTTTCTTTTCTTTGTCTTCTATTTTTCGTTTAAATTTTGATCAATGCATAATTTTTTTTTCTTATTATTTATATAGAAGTAAAGAGAAAAAGTAAAATGTTTATTTTAAATTCTTTCATTAATTTTTTTTTTTTAAAAAAAAATTAGTGAATAATTTTGTAGTGATCCGGGACCAGAACGAGGTGATCTACCGGATGATTTCAAACCGGTTACAATTTCGGAGCAATTCATTCGACATCCAAGTATTGGACTTGGTAATGCTGGTGTATACACATGCAGAGGTAGCAATATTCAAGCTTCAGCTAAGAAGGATATTTATATCGAAGGTAATGCTAAAACTTTTTTTTTTTTCAATTTTGTTAAATTTGAAATTTAATAGAAATATTTGAGTATTAGTTTATTTCTGAACTTCCATATATAATTATATACTTTCAATGGATAAAAAGTAAGCTAATTACGTGTATCACGTACGTATAATAACAGAAACATTTGTGTGTATCACATGCGCATTGTATCAAAATCACATATGCAAGTTTACGTGTATCGCATACAAGAAATATCAGTGATAACATTTGCACATGAAATATACGTAAATTATCAGAAATAATATTTACGTGTTTTACGTACATGAGAAATGTCAGAAAAATATTTGCATTACCACATATGCAAGATATCATCAAAAACATTTGCGTGTATCATATGTGGAAAATATCCCAAAAAATATTTAGTTGTATTACATACGTAAGTTATCAGACCACGTACGCGAAACATCAGGAACAACATTTTTATCACGCATGCAAAATATCGGAGATTTACGTGAACCATCTGTGCAAAATTTAGAGATAACGTTTTGTACATATATATCACGTACGTAAGATATTCAAAAATCTACCCTAGGTTGTACATAGAGACATTTCAAGAAATATTACAAATTTTTTTTTTTTTTTTTTTTTCAAATTATTCTAATTAATAACTATAATTAATAGCGTTTTGTTTAATTAAAGTAAATATTTTAATTTTAATTTAACACTCAAAATTTTATTTTGCATTGCATTTCATTACAATTTTTTAAATTATTTCTTCAATATGGAATATTTTTTCTTTTTTTAAAATTTCATTTCAATTTATTTCTTTTTTCCGGTTTCGTTTTTTTTTTTTATTTTAATTTTCAATTAAATAATCAGTTGATAATATAGTTGTGGAACCATCAAAGGTAGCAACAGTAGCAATTCTCGGTGGTTCAACACAATGGTTTGAACCTGGCAGATCAGCTGATTTGATCTGTACCGCAACAGGTAGTGAAATTGTTGATCGTATCCAATGGGTCAAAGTTGATGGTGCATTGCCGGATGATGCAAAAGAAACGGAACTTGGAATTTTACATTTGCCCAGATTTAGGGTAAGGAAAAATGAAAAGGAGAAAAAAAAAAAGATAAATTATTAATTTTTTTAAATAAAAAATATAAATGTTTAAAAATATATTAAAAAAATATTTAATAAATTTAGAAAATTATTTTTTTATATTTATTTTTTTTTTTTTGCTTTTTTGTGAAAAGGATGGTTTAATATGTAATTAATTACAACTCTCATTTTTTTTTTTTTAGCAAAAAGGTACTGATTTATTTATTAAAAATATAAATAATTTATCACTTTAATTTTTTTTTTTTTTTTTAGATTTATTAAATGTTTTTTTGATATATTCTTAAATATTTATATTTTTCGCTTAAAAAATAATTAATTATTTGTTATATATTTTGTCAGTTTTAAAATAGCAGAAATTTAGTAAATTTAATTTATTTCAATAAATTAGCTAAAATTTTTTAAAACGAAATATTTAATAAATAATGATAGGATTAATTTATCGAATATGTTTTAGCCTTTGAAAATTTACCTCTTAATATTAGTTATTAAATTATATTATTTTATTCGTCTTGGTTAAAAATTTTTTTAAAAACAAAATATATAATTAATCATTTATCAGGTATTTAATTAATTTATCAAATATTTAATTAGTTAAGAAGAATATGATAGCTAATTAATAAACAATCTAAATTGTATGATCACAATTTGCTACAAGATATAATTATTGTCAATATTCATTAATTATTTTATGAAATATTATCATTAACAATAATAACTGTACGATTATTTAAATTATTGTATTGAAAATTTTAATGGAATTGAAATTGAAATTAAAATTAAAAAGTTTATTCCAATCCTTTTTCTTTTGTTTATTTATTACAAAATTCTAATCATTTTTTATTTATTTTGTTATTGTTTTATTTCAGCTTTTTTTTTACTTTTGTTTATTTATTATTATTTTATTTTGCTTCAACTTATTTAATTGTTTATTTTTTTTTTATTATTTGATTCCAATCTTTTTTTTTTTCTTTTGTTTATTTATTATTAATTTATTTTGTTTAATACAGAAATCTGATAGTGGTGAATATGAATGTCGCGGATATCGTCATAATGAATTGGTAGGAAGTAATCGTGTTACAATATATGCTACCAATTTAGCACCATTGGATACAGCACGGGTAGAAATTGATTCACCCGCTGTTCGGGTAATTGATCAGGGTGAATCGATTAAGCTTACATGTACAGTTGAAGGCAGGTTTTCCTCTTTTTCCTTCATAATTTCGTTTTAAATTTTATAAATTTCCTTCTTTAATATATTCGTATTTTTGGCAAAAAAAATTTTCAATTTAAAAAAAGGAAAGTGAAAAAGAATTTGAAAGAAATGAAATTTTTTAACTTAATAAATAGAAAAAATTTTTTAAAAGGAAAAACATTTTAGTTTAATTATTTCCTATTTTATTAGTATTTTATTTGTGCAAAAATTAGTTAACAAATTAACATTAATTTGTCTAATAAATAAACTTATAACTGATGCTATTTGTTGATTTCTTACTGATTAATACTTAATACTAATATACTCGAATTAAATAATAAGTTAACAATGAATTTAGAATGGTTAAAATATCGATGATTTTGTAATTTTAAAAATTATAATTCAAAAAAAAAAAAAAGACTAATTTAAAGTTCAATTGAGAAGTTAACAGATATAATAAATGTCATTTATGCATGATTTATCAATGAATAAATTTTATAAATAAATGAAATTATCATATCAGATAGTTTAAATAATCTTTTTTCAAATTATTTCAATCAAATAATTTCTAATTTCATTAATTGCATAAATATTATTTTTCTTTACTGATAATATACTATTAGCAACATTTATTTTTGCAAAAAATAAACTTAATGTAATTAATAATTTCTCACTAATTTTATCATTTTTTTATCAAATAATGATTTGCAAACAAACAAAAAAAAAGAGAGAAAATGAATTTCGTTTTTTATTATTAGTTTATTGCTAATATTACTAATTATTATTATTACTTATTATTAACTAGGCAAAATTAATAATTGCTTATTAATTTTCCGAAAATTTTATCTTGTTTGATAAATTTTAAACAGAGAAAAAAGAAACAGTGAAGTTTTTTTTTTTTTTTTTCCACATTATTTTCATAAATAAAATTTACTTTCGTATTATATATAGTTTTACCAAATATATCAGTGAATTAAATATATTTATTATTCCTATTATTATTAGCTAATTTAACTTTTACTTCAATTATTTGTTAACCGATACTATTACTGTTATTATTATCACTAATAATTATTTTAAGCCAATATTAGCTAATTTAACTACTGCTTTAATTTTTTTTAACCAACGCTATTATTGTTATTTTTTTTTTCTTTATTTATTACTAATACTACTTTAATCCATCAGAATATTACTTTAACTTTGATTCATCGGATCATTTAACAAATTGATTATTGCTTTTTTGTTTTGCTTACAACATTTTGCAGAAAGAAGCATTCCATATCTTCTAACCTGGTATCGTTCGGTTGGCAAAGATAATTTAAATGAAGCACCAATTATTTTAAGTAATGATAAATCATTGCACCTGAATGATGCTAATTTCAATACACAAGGCATTTATTGGGTACATTTCGAGAGTACAACCGGTGAAAGTATTCGCAGTAAACCGGTTTATCTCCTTGTCCGTAACACATATACCGGTCATGTCCTTTTATTTTTCTTTTTTTTTTTTTTTTATGTTTAACTGATCATATTCATTTAATAATAATGTTAACAAATTTCTAATCAAATTCATTTATTAATAATATCTTAATGGTATTTATTTTAAGGGAAAAATTTTAATATCACTTATTATTATTTAACTTTAATTTATTGCTATTTAAGAATTAATTCTTTTATTTTTTAAAAAAAAAAAAAAATTTTCGTCTCTTTTTTTTATTAATGATTTTTATATTAATTTATTGCTATGAAATTTTATAATTTATTCGTCCATTCGTTTTATTTTTTTTCTTTTTTTTTTTATTTCATTATTTTAATATTTATTTATTTATTTTTTATTTTGCATTTCATATCAAAAAAAATAACATCAAGTTAAAATGTTAATCTAACCGAAAATGTATTTTTTTGTTGTTAGTAATTTGTTATTATTGTTTACTGTGCTTGAATTAGTTAATATTATTTCGGATATTATTTTCAAACCGAAATTTTTTGTTTGCTTTCTTTGTTTGTTTATTTGAAATTAATACTTCATGTAATAACAGTGATTTTGTTTATCGTAACCAATATTGTCATTATTACTGTTATCATCTATCACCACTATCATTATTATTGTCATCGTTATTATTGTTGTTATTGTTGTTTTTTTTTCTTGTTTACGTTTCATCTATAATACTAATTTGCACATCTGAAATACTGCTAGAATAGGTTTTTTTTTTTTTTAAAAAAAAAAAGGAAAAGTACTTTTGAGTATCCTAAAATTATGAAAAAATTTGGAATGAATATTTGGAGGAATGGAAATACGAGAATTTAGATTTAGGCGGTGATATTAGTGGTATTAATTATGAATGGGCGTTACTGCGGGGCGGTAATATCATTCGTCAGTACTCAGAAGATAGCACATTGGTGATCAAAAAAGCCGATCCATGGAATGATTACGGTGTTTATCGTTGCGAAGTGGAAGATGACGATGGCGAATTAATTGGACAAGCATATACAGCTGTCACAATTGGATTTACTGATCCATCTAGTCTGATATAACTTTTCTTTTTCTTAATTATTGATAATTTATCATGATTAAGTGCTATTATTGATATGCTGATTAGCTGGCATATCAGTAATAACATAGTAAACATTTGATTTATTATTCAAAACAACATCACTAATTATCATTTATTAGTAATTACAATACGTTAAATCAAAATAATCTCAATTTATATTATTATTATCATGATATCAGTATATCAGTTATATAATCAATCATTTTTTTATCACTGATTTTATCAAATTATATATGAGTATATATGAGTACATATAGCAATGAATTAATCGTTATAGTTATTGAAATCATTCAGTCCATTTTAAGACGAAATTAATTAATTAATTAATTAATTGTGCAATTAAGACAAATCTTAAAAGTAATAATGCAAAAAAAGAATGCATAATTTGAACTTTTTATTTTTATTATTTTATTGTAGAAAATCAGTAGCAAATATTACTAATTTTTATAGGTTTACAAAAAGTAATTTACTTAATTGAATGAAAGATTAAAGGTAAATAGTGATAATCGTTGAAATCTTTTTAAACTTTTTTGAAATCAACAAATATTCTCCTAATCTTTTCACATTTGTCTTTTTTTTCATATAGAATTCTTATTTTTAATAATTGATGAATTGTCACTTAATTAAAAATTGTTATCATTCATTTGTCTTTGCTTTTTTGTTTTTATTGTTTGTTTGTTGTTTTTTTTTTTTTTTTTTTTTTTTTTTTTTTTTTTTTTTTTTTTTTTTTTTACCTCAAGTACAATTTATATATGTAATTAAAAACAATTTTAGATGCACGAGTTGTTAAATTTGATGAAAAATCATCTGCAACAATTGAATGTCCTGTTTATGCCATACCTGGCGCAACTGTCACATGGGAAAAAGAAGATGGTGAATTACCGCCTGGTGCAAAAATGATTGGTAATAAATTGATGTAAGCTTATTTTTTCTTTTCTCATTTTTAAATATGTTTGCATTTTTATAGTTTTACTAATTTAAAATTAACCAATTTGCATGCAATTAAATGTAATTTTAGCATTTTTTAAAGTTTCTTTTTTCTATTTTTTTTTTTTTTTTAAATATTTACTTTACTCATATTTTTGATTTTTCTTGCTCACTTTCAATTTTTAAAATTTAGAATTGATGAATTTGATGATGATGCTATTGGGATGTATGTTTGTAAAGTTGACATACATGGTAAACAAGTTGAAGGTTATGTCAAAGCAGAAATATATGGTTAGTTTCATTCAAAATTTTTAGGTAATTGAATTTAAAAAAAAAAAAAAAAAAAAAAAAGAAAACTGAATTATTGAATTATTAGCATATGAATAGTAAAAATTGATTAATTTTCAAATTATTTTTGCTGTAAATTTTTTAGTTCCGGATACAATAATACAAGTATTGCTGGAACCATCATCGGAAAGTATATCTCTGGGTGATCGAGCATGGTTTGATTGTAAAGTAACCGGTGATCCGGATGCTGAAATAACATGGACAAAAGAGGGTGAAGATGAATTACCGGATAATACACAGGTTTTCCGGACTTTTTCTTTCCTTTTTAAAACTAATTTATCAATCTTTTTTAATTATTATTACTATTATTCATAAATATTTTAATATAGACAGGAATTTAATTTTATCGCTATGAATTTTTAAAAACTGCTGGAGTTCTAAGTTCGAAAATTTTTTAATTCCGGAAATATAATTTAATATAATGATATAATCCTTGTTTATAATTTGTTATTATATAATTTTTTTTTTTTGTTAAAATTTTAATATAAATTTATTTCGCTTATTATCATAAATTTACACATAGATAAAAAACTATGCACTTTAAGATTATTCTTATCATTTAGGATTGTTATCATCAAACAAATAAAGTATTTGATAAGATTCTTTTAATAAAGATATGTGAGATTGTAAACATATTTTAGACTTTAATCAATTGTTGTTATAATTTACTGTGATAATGATTCACTTTTTTTGCTATTGGTAATATTGATATCAAAAAATCTTCTAATTGATAATAAGAAATTCATTTTATGCGGAAAAAAAATAGTAATTACAAAAGAGAAATAAAAAGAAGAGTTATAATAATAATAATAAGTTTAAATTTGTAGAATGCTTATTAAATATAAGTTTAAAAATATATGAAAAAACCAAAATTTGATCAAAAATTAATTTCAAATTTATAAATAAAATTTATTTAAAAAAAAAAAAAAAAAGAAATAATTTTTAGGTTATGGGTAATCGTTTATTGTTTGTAAACGTACGTGAAGATAACGGTGGTATCTATAAGTGTCACGCAAAAACAAAAGCTGGTCCATTGGAAACACGAAATGTGCTCAATGTTGGAATAGCAAAACGCAAGCGAAAGCGTATTTCACGTAAAAAAGAAAAACGTGCCCATAAGGAGGCTGGGAATAATGATAAGAAAATGAAGCATAGTTCTTCCATTTTTGGCACTTGGTTTACGTCTAGCTAAAGTGAAAGAGAAAGAATAAAAATTTAAAAAACAAAAAAAAAAAAAAAATAAAAACTTTTATCAAAATTTTAAAAATGTATTTACAAGCATTTCAAAATTTAAAAAAAAAATTCCACACGAATATAATTTTTTTTCTTTTCTTTTTTTTTTTTTTGGGAAAGGAAACAAAAAAAAAAAAGTTATTATTAAATTAAATTTTATTTTATATAAATTTCACTATAATACTACTACTACTATCACTCATACTTATCATTATGATAATTATAACTATTATTGTTGCTATCACCTATCGCTATCACTAGAGCTAATTACACTAATAATACTGCTGTAATTGTTATTCTTTTGGCACTGCCTTTATTGTTTTGCCAAGAAAAAGAAGGAACAAAAAAGCTTCTTATTGTTTTAGCAAAAAAAAAGAAGGAAAGAAAAGAAAGAGAAAAAATGAATAAACAATTAAAATTTCGAATTAAAATATTTCATTAAATTTTTGATTAATCTTTACGGTGACTGTGTCTAATTAATTTTTTGAATTTTTTTTTTCTTTATTCATTTAAATTAAAAAAAAAAAAAATGCTCCTTTTTCATTTCATTTATGCACTTAGCTATGCAAATTCTAAATTAAAAGCGAAGTATTAATAAAATATTAGAAATTGTTTTCTCTCTTCTCTTTTTCTTTCACCCTCTCTCTCTTCATCTATTTTACTCTTAACATTTCTCTCTCTCTCTCTCTCTCTCTCTCTTTGTTTGTAATATATATATTTTTGAGCATTGAAAGAAGCCTTAAATTATACTTACTTCGGTGACAGTGCCTAATTTTTTAGGCCTTTTTTCTTGTTTCTTTAGCAATTTTTTTTCTTGTTTTTTCATCTAATAAATCATTTCAAAAACGGATTATTTGTTCTTGTCAATATGCTTAAGTAAATTAATTAATTAATTAATTGGGTATTTAAATTATTCATTTCTAATTTTATATAATTAGTAAAATTTCTGTTATATCGCTTATGCCTTTCTCCTCTTTTTTGCTATTTCTCAATTCATTTCTACACTGCCATTTAACATCAATTATATTTATTTCCTTTTTTTTTTTCCATTATCCAAGTATTCAATCACCGCCATACTTTTTTGAATTCATTATGCATTTTAGTTTAATTTAACTTAGTTTAAATTTCAAAATTTAATTTCTACCTTTTCATATAATCCTTTTCCTTGTTTACTAATTATTCAAATAATAGCTACTCGTGTTAGATTTGATTGATTAAAATTTCAATTTTAAACAAATGAATTATTGAGACTAAAATTGTTAACAATTAAAATGAAATCAAATAATGTTAAGCTTAATGAAAGATTTTTCGAATTATTTTTATTCGTTCAAATTTCAATTCTTTTCATTTTATTTTTTTTTTTTTTTCTTTCTTAGTAGAAAATTAAAAATCGAAACAAAATTGATATTCATTTTTGTCTTTCCATCCAAAACTAGATAAATGCATCATTTTTTCTTCGATTAGAAAATTTTTGCAATAATTTAGCTATTTGTATTTTGAGTAAAAATTAATTTACTTATAAATATTTTAATGAAAAAGGAAAATTATTTATATTTCCTATTGTTGTTTTATAATCGAGTAGCAAATTATTTGAATTAATTTAAATCTTTCATTTACATCAAAATCTTTCACAAATATCATCACCACCATCTACGCATACAATATTAAACTGCCTTATTTAAATGTTAATTCTTTTTTCATTTAAATTTTAAATGCCTTATTTCAATTTCAATTCTTTTTTTTGATTTCCTCACTGTTTTTATTGATCATCTTCTCTTTCTCTTTCTCTCTCCCTCTCTCTTTCCTCTTTCTTTTTATCTCTTTCATTTTTCCTCTTTGTATTTTTCACCTTTTATTGTTTTTTGAATATATATAATAAAATCAACCATAATTATTGATGATATGCATATAAATTAATTGATAATTGGTTCTATCTTTTTTTCTCTTTCTCTTAATATCCTTCTTTTTATCATTGTAATCCATTCATTATTATTATCACTATAATATCATCTTATTATGATAAAATAACAAAGTATTTGTCTCTTTTATCAAATTTCTCCTTCCTTTTTTTCCTTTCTTTATGCTTTTCTTTCTTTTTTCTTTTCAATTTCTTTTCATTTCTTTTAAATTACTTTTTTTTTTCAATTTTCTTTATTCTCTATTTATGTCAATTGGCAAATTTTCTTCTTCTTTTACTTATTGCATAAAAAAGAAAATTAATTAATAATAATAAAATTTATCGTTACTATTTGTTGTTGCTCTTGTTACTGTTACTGTAACTGTTGTTGTTGCTATCGTTGTTACTGTTATTGTTCGTGTTATTTTTGTTTCTGCTATTTATTGTTGTTGCTGCTTATTGTCGGCAATAATGGTGGTGAATGGTGGTGTTTGATGATAATGGTTAGTGATGCTGAAAAGTTACGGTGATGGTGATGGTGTCAATTTGTTATTGTCTTTGTTTTTGCTGCTACCACTACTAGTACTACTACTGCTACTACAATTACTACTACAACAATAATTACTATTACAACTACACAAATTACAACTATTGCTATTATTTTACTGCTATTTCTGCTGTATTTGTTGTCATCGTTGCGAACATATTCGTCGATATTTTTTTGCAAATATTTATAAGCTTCATGCATGATTCCTGTCAGGAAAGTGATATATTATTAAAATATATAAATTACAAAACACCTACGCACAACGCCCACGCACACACCTACACACAAACGCCCACACATATACACCCACTCACACACCCACACATTACGTATCTACTTTCAATTGAATTAAAATATATTCATGTATTAAAAAGAAAAAAATGAAAAAAAAAAGAAACAATATTAAAAAATATTACATCAAAATTACAATATAAAAATTTGGGAATAGTATTTATTGAATGATTGGTATTTTATAAAATTGTTAAAAGAATGTTGGATATTGCAATCCACACAAAAGATAAATGCTAATTTTTTTCTGATTATTGAAAACGAAAAATAAAAAATAAAAATTAATCATAAATTATCTGATGAATGGTATTATCACATATATGCAAAAAAAAAAAAGAAAAATGTTTACTGATAATCGTAAAGCAAAATAAAACTGATAAAAAAAAGTTTCTTTTTTTGTTTTGGTAACGCAGTCAATTATTATATTTATTGAATTTTAGCCAAAAATTTCATTTTTATCACAAAATTAACGAAAAATATTTGAAATTAATCAAATTTAAACAAAAAAAAACCTAAGATTTAGCATATTTTTTGAAGCTTTTAATTAGTTTTACTAACTTTTTAGCTAGCATATAGAGAGAAAATTTAATTAACAATCTGAGGACATATTAATTTAATTCCTTGGAACAATAAATAATAATGGACGTTAATAATAACAATCACATGACTAATTAATTAATTGTCGTATGTGATTTATGATCACATAAATATCGCCTATTAACACTTCGTGCTAGGGAAAAAGTTGAAAAAAAAAAAAACTTTATTTTATTAAATTGTCAATATAAAGAAAACAAATTCAAAAATTTCAATTTTTTTTCAACTATAGATTACATAAGCAATAAATTTCCGAAAGAAAAACCATTAAAATTAATTAATATAGGATAGGGAAAAGAATTTTTTTTTTATTAATTTTTGATAATTAAGCAAAAATTAAAATTTATTTTTCATTTTGGTCTAAAAATATTTGCAATCAATTTAGAATAAAAGAAAAAAAAAATTTTTTTTTTCTTTTTCAATTTTTAAATTATTAAATAAAATATATAAATTTAGATGAAATACCAAACAAAAGTATACAACGAATTAAAGAGAGTGCTCCAGTTATTACTGCAGCTATTGGCGAAGAGGTCAGTTTGCTCAGTGATTTTAGGTCATTTATCACTTATCAATAATCATTTATCACTAATGTACAATGAGTCAATTACACTTTGCACTAATAAGTATACCATAATATAAGATTAAACAAAACATAAAAATTTATTATGTGAAATTTGTTTGCTACGCATTACGTGTAGCGATCAAATTTTTCTATGATTTCTTTTTAATTGACTAATTAATTAATTGTTGTAATGATCGCATACAATGATTTGAAAATGTATTAATATAATTATATATTAAAATTATCATAATGTTAGGTTGAAAATTTAATAAGCAATCACTAATTGTAAATGATTCAGGTTGAAATTTGATTTAAAATCAATTAAATGTATTCAAATATACTGTAAAATTTGATCCTATCTGTAAATTTAAAAAGAATAATTTTTATGGCTTAATATACTTAAATTTTAGATAATATATATATATATATATATATATATTATTATTATCGATATTACCATTATTACTATTATTACTGATATTGTCGTTACTATTAATAAAAATTTTAAATATATTTCGCATAAATATACTAAATTATAAAAATGAAAACAATTTATTTGATTTAATTTTTGATGTTTGTAAGTTTCTGAAATTGATGTAATAATATATCAATTAGTCCATATTGATATATTATTACTATTGTCATTGTTACTATTACCATTATTATTGTTATTGATATTTTCGTTACCATTAATAAAACCATTATTATTATTATCAATATCAATATTATTAGTTATCTAAATATTACGACATCCTTTTTTTTTAAATAGCGAATTATCCACTACAATTATTAGATTCCATTTTTTTTTTGTTAATTTATTATCAATTCTAAATAATATTTCAAATATACAATTTAAAAGAACTTGAAATGATTTATTTACCTGTAGATTGAATTACGATGTCCTGCAACTGGTGCACCTGGTGTGTACGGTGAAGTGAAGTGGGAAAAAGTTAACGGTGAATTACCATATGCTTATTCAATTCGGCAAGGTATTCTACACCTGAAAGATACGAAACGAACGGATGAAGGAATTTATCGATGTATCATACGAACTGATTCCGGTTTAGCAACCGTTACACATGTTCACTTAAAAGTCTCCGGTATTTACTTATATTCATATTATGTTGCATTGTTTCAATTATGCAAGAAAAAGGAAAAGAAATATTTCTTTTTTTTTTTTTAAATTACACAATTATAAATATATCTCAAAGCAAAGAAACAAATAATAATAAACAAACGATAATAAAAAATAAATAAACAAACAGAAAATTTAATAAACAATAACAATTTTTTTAATTTAGAAATTTTTTCTTTTGTAAATGAAAATAATTTAAAAAAGAAAATTTCTTTTTTGTGTTTTGAGTGAATTATTATTTTATTCTAATTTTACGAGTAAAATTTTATTGAATAGATTTTGTGCCATTATTTGGTGGAGACGATTATTTGGAATTAAAACCATTGACGGATGAACAATGGAGTGATATTAATATGAAAATTTCATTCAAACCTAAATCACCTAATGGTAAGTTGGTAATTCAGTATTGATAATTTAATTTTATCAAAATAAAACTAAACTATCATAAATAGATATCATTTTTTGTACACACCTTGTTTACACAATATGAATTATTATTATTATTATTACGATTTTTATTGCCATGATTTTTAGTATTATATGTGTTAAATCTGAAAATATTGTTTATTAGCAATAAAAATGGATAATTTCTTTTTTCTAATCATTTCTAAAAGCCATACATTTTATTATTTCAGATTTTTCATAAAGGAACAAAATGCTAAAATTGGAATAATTCGAAATTTATAGATTTATTCCTGAAGAAATGAAAAATATTTACACTATAAATTTATTAAAATTATAAATTTAGATAAAAAGTAATAAACATGGAAATATTATTTGGTATTAAATAAAATTCGAAAATTTTTTAAAATTTTCTCCAGAACCTATACAAAAAAAAAAAAAAAAAATTCCTGAAATGATGCCATTTCAGGTTTGCTATTATATACAGCACGACAAAATGCGAAGAATCCGGAAGAAATAATTAATTATTTGAGTGTTGGATTAAAAAATGGTCATGTAATCTATCGATATAATGTTGGTGCCGGACCAGGTTTGCTTTATTTTCAACCGGAAATTATATCAGAAATGATTTATCAGATTTTATCACGCATACACAAATTATCATCATCTTTTACTTATTATTAGCAAAAAGATAAGTAATTAAAAAATAAAAAATTCAATTTTCTTGTCTCTGTTCATTTAATTTGGTTAGAATTTTTAGAATTATTATTTCTTTTTTAAGAATAATTTGTTCAAATATTTTATTCAACAGAAATTATCAGTATTTTATCAACAAATTAAATTTCTATTTGAATAATTGTTGAGCATCAAAGTGATTGTTATTACTGCTTTTTTTAAATTTTTACAAATCTTTCAATCACATTAAGCATTATTCGAAAAATAAAAAAAGAAAAGCAAAAAAAAAAAAAAAGCTGATGAAAAATTAAAAAAGAAAATTAGTTTTTACACTATTATTTGTTTATTTGAAAATTTTAAAATTAAAGTAACAATTTTTTATTTAAAGATTAAACAGTTTTTTTTTTTTTTTCATATTATTATAATTTTGTCTTTTTTTAAAAGTCAAACAATTACATTTATAAAATTTGTTTTTTACTTTTTAAGCTGAATTAATGAGTACTTATCCAGTGGTAATGGATGAATGGCATAAAATTGAATTAGTTAATCAACCAAGTCAAGGTTTATATTTATTTATTTATTCGTTCCTTTTTTTTTTTTCCTTTTTCAAATTTTTCTTTAAAGAATTTTTCCATTTTTTTTTTTTTTTTTGCATAATTATTTAGTTAAATTAATTAATGCTTTCATTCAATAATCATAACTCTGATTTTCTATCATTCTTAATTTTTAATTTTGAAAAACCAATATTAATTTTTTTTTTTTCTAATTGTTAATTTAAAAGCATTATTTAAGCGAAACAGTAAATAAAAATAAAAGTAATAGTGAAAAAAAATATTTAATTACAGCTGCATTACTTGTTGATGAAGATGATATAATTGAACAGGATAATTACTACTTTAATACTGGTGAAGGTATATCAAATATTGTAAGTGTTGGTGGTACCAAAGATAAAAAAATATTCGAACGTACAATGTTTGAACAACCATTTATTGGTATTATTTCATTTTTTCTTTCTTTTTTTTTTTTTTTTTGTTTTCAATTTTATTTAAAATTTTTGTCAATTTTATCATTTTAAAGTTTTTTTTTTTTTTTTGCTTCCATTTTTAATTTTTCATCGGTCTCATTAATAGATTGAATAAAATTATTAAATTATTTACTATTATAGTATTCATTTTTTTTTCTCATTCTTAATTAAATAATTGATTTGCTCTATATTGATTGTTTTTTTTTTTTTTTTTCATTAATAAATTATTTAAAATTAATAAAATATATCTATTAAAATGGCAGTTTTTCTTTTTTTCATTTTTTTATTTTATTATTTTTGTATAAAAATTCATGTGCAAAATGCATGCATAAATTTTTTTTTTTTTTTTTAGGTTATATACTATTGTTTATTATACTTTTTTATAAATTTTTTTTTTTTAGGTTATACTATTGTTTATATATAATTTATTAATTAATATTAATTAGAAAAAAAAGAAAATTCATTCCGTTTTCTTTGCATAATTTTTTTTTTTATTTAATTAAGGAACAATTACATCACTAATAATATCTGATGAAACAATTAATTTTGGTGAAAATGCAATTGCAAAATCAGCAAATATACAAAAGGATGCGGCATGTTCATTAGGATTATGTCAACATAATTCAATTTGTATACCAACAAATATTCACAATGGTTTTGTATGTGATTGTTCAAATGTCAAAGGTTATGAAGGTGAATTCTGCGAGCGCAAAATTCTAAAATGCAGTCACGGTACTGTCATTTCTTATGTTTAACTATTCTTTTCTTTTTTGACAAATAATTTAGAGAGTTTGTTTTAATTTTTTTTTCAATAATTTTTAATTTATTATTATTAGAAAAAAATAAGCAAGTTTCGAGATTTTTTAAAAATAATTTAGTATTTTTTCATATATTTAAAAAATTAATTGACAGTTAGCGATTACAAACATAATAAATTAAAAATTTTTTCAATACTGTATTGCTTTGATTCTATGTAATACATATTATGGAATAATTATTTTTTAATTAATTATCTTAATTAAGGTATTATTAGTGATAACAAATTAGAGCATATATTAGAGAGAAAATATTAAAAAAAATAATTTTGATAAGTAGCAATTCATTTACCCATTTATTTCAAAAAAAAAAAACAAAACAAATTTAATTTTAAAAATAATTATTAAATGATCATTTTTTTCTTTTTTTTTTTCAATTAAGAAAAATTAAATGATAAAATTTTTTTTTGTTCTAGAAATTAATTAAAAACTTTATTTATTTTACATATATCATTCATTCATACAAATACAATTTCAAAAATTTCATTTTCGTCTTTTCTAAAAAAAAAAATTTTTATTTATTTCACATTTGTCATTCATTCATATAAATAGAATTTCAAAAAATTTCATTTTTAAAGTTACCTGTGGAAGTGGAACATGTGAGTATCGAATGGATGGTACACAATTTTGCAATTGTCCAACCGGACGATACGGTGACCGTTGTCAACTGCTCGAGACTGATAATATTATTGAATCGGTTGAATTTAATGGTGAAACCTCATATATTGTATTACCAAAATCAAAAACACTTCGTAATTTTAGTGTATGTTTGCTTATTTTATGTATTAGTAAAAATAAATAAAAATTTAAATTATTTTTTTTTCTTCTAAATTATTGAAAAATATTAAAATGATAAAAATTTATCAATTATAGATTGGGAAAAAGCTGTGAATGAGTTAAAATGACTTTTTTATATTTTTTTTTTTCTTACCGCTGTATTTTTAATGGAATAAAAAATTGTTCTTTTTAACATTAAAATTTTTTTTATTTTTTAAATATTGTTATTTAAATATAAGCAGCTAACAAGAACTAAAGTCTCATAGAATACATTTCCGGAAAACAATATACTTCCGGAATTTCCATACATGTAATATGTGATGAAGTTTTTTTTTTTTTTTGAATTTGATATTAATAATAACGTGAATAGTTTAAATTAGCTTTACATTAGTAAGTTTTATTAATTAATTTTCAGCTATTAATATTGTTATTTGTTGGAAAACCATTTCAAACATTTTATTAATATTATTATTTGAAGAAATAATTACTAATTATAGATTCTATTAATTCAAACAATTTCAAATTTTAACCACTAATATTACAAATTATTTTTTTGTATAAATTTACTAGTTTTAAGCAAAATAATTACTCTATTTTTTTGAACATTATGTTACATTTAACTTTCAGTAAAATTATTTTCGATTTTTTATTCTAATTAAATTAATTAAAATTGTCCAGAAGATAAATATTATTCATTAATGTTACCATAATTTAGTTAAAAATGGAAATTGTGCCGCGCTCAACGAACGACCAATTATTAGCATACCAAGCAAGTGATTATAATCCAAAACGATCCAATTATTTAGCATTCGCAATACGTCGCGGAAAATTTGTTTACTTTTACAGCAGTGCAGATGGTTTGTTTATTTGTTTACTTATCCTGATAGTGGTGGAGATTATTTGTTTATTTCCTTGTTTATTCTAATAGTAGTGGAGATGGTTTGTTTATTTGTTTTTTATTCTAATAGTGGTGAAGATGGTTTCGTTATTTGTTTGTTTACCCTGATAGTAGTGGGATGGTTTGTTTATTTGTTTGTTTAGCCTGATAGTAATGGGATGGTTTGTTTATTTGTTTACTTATCCTGATAGTGGTGGAGATTATTTGTTTATTTCCTTGTTTATTCTAATAGTAGTGGAGATGGTTTGTTTATTTGTTTTTTATTCTAATAGTGGTGGTGATGCCTACCCTGATAGGAAAGGAGATGGCTAGTTTATTTACCTGCTTATCTTGATAGCAATGGGGATGGTTTGTTTATGTGCTTACAATAGTTTTTATTTACACCAGTAGATACAATTGATTTTTACACTAGCCGAGATGGTTTATTTTTTTTTCCTCCTTATTTCTTTACTTTCAGAATGGTGGCAATATTTATTTGTTTGTTTTTTTTTTTTTCCTTTTTTTTCATCTCTCTTTGGGATTCTAATTTTTTCAATTTTCTTTTGTTTTTCTTTTTTGCCGTCAATAGTTTTCATCCCCAATTTTTTTCACACTTTCTAATTATGTTTTTGCTCTTTTTGATATCATTTTGAAGTTTGTTATGCTTTTTTTTAAATCATAATTGTTAGCGCTTTTTTTTTTTAAATTTTTATATGAATTAATTTTCCAAAAAAAAAAAAAAAAAAAAAAAAAGAAAAACTAAACTATTTTCTTTTATATTTGTAGAGGAAAAAAAAAAAAAACTTTCTCTTTTAATGATATAATTCTTTTTGCATAAATATTTTTTAGGTAATATAGAAATTGAATCACCGGATGATGTAATGATAAATGTACCGTATCATATTGACCTGAAACGGTTTGGTAATCGAGCTGAGGTACGAATAAATGGCACAAAAGTACCGACTCGTGGCAAACTTTCAACATTTTTGCCAGGCACAAATTTATTTATTGGTGGTATACCATCAGGAATTACAGTAAATCCTAGAATTGGTGGTGCTGCATCATTTAGAGGATGTATTTCAAAGGTTTATTTCATTCTTTTTTTTTTTCTTTTCCTTGAATTAAACTAAAAATTATTTTAAAACGAAATTATTTAACCAGGTGAAATTATTTCGTTTTAATATATTAGAATTGGTGGTATACCACTGGGAATTATAATAAATCCTAGAATTGGTGGTGCTCTATTATTTAGAGGATTATTGATTAAATTATACTTTGTATTATTTATGTAATTTAGAAGTTTTTTTAATTATTATTTTAATTTCAAATAATTTTATCCAATATATTTATGTGTAATTAAAGATTGTTTTAAATGGAATGGATATCAATTTGACTGAAATACTTAAAAAATCATCACATGATGTAACGATATGTAAACCGTATACGACTGAAGAAGACGTAGACATTCACGTGCCATTCGTTTGGACTACGTCAATACCAACGACACGTACAACAATACGTATTACAACGTCAAAGTATTCACAAATGAAACCAATCGAAAGCACTGATGAAATGGCTGATGAAATTAAAGTAACAGATGCAATGATAACAGGACCAGAAGAAATCAGAGTAACAGATGCAGTGATAACAGAATCATGCACTGATAATGATAGTAAGTAAACTTTACGTTTTTCCGCATTAAATATTATTTCGAATATTCTATTCAAATTTTAATTAATTGAATAATTGATAAATTAAATGTGCAAAATTTTGCATATATTAGGTTGAAATAATTTTAAAATATAAATGCTGCGACTAAATATGCAAATGAATTATTTATTAGCATTAATATATAAACATTCATTTCAAAAAAAAAAGAAATTATAAGAAAATAAACAAAAGAAAATTGAAAAAAAAATATTTGAATTTATTTTACAAAATTAAATGCAAATATTTTACTAAATTCAAAAACTATGAGCTTTTTAAAATTTTCTTCTTTATAAATTGTTAACAATTTATTAGTAATATGAATAACAATTAGATAATTTTCTAATTTTTTAAATTTAAATAATTTTATCAAATAAAAATAGTGATTCAATGCCCTTATCATCATTATTGTCTTAGTAATAATTATTAAAACAGATTGAATTTTTATAATTATTATCAGTTGCTATTATTATTACTATTAGCGTTGTTATCATTATCATCATTTATTGTTATTGTTAATATTATTTGTCAACAATTATTTTTTGTCAATGTTATTATTTATTATTACTATCATCATTATTTATTGTTGTTACTATTATTATCATTATTTATTGCTATTATTATTATTATTATAGTTATCATTTCAGATTGTTCAGTTAGATGTACGCCAGATATATGTGGCGATCATGGTGACTGTGAAATAATTAATGGAACTCATATTGCATGTTCCTGTCGTGATTATTATGATGGTCCAAACTGTGAAATTTGTTAGTTTCAAAATCTAAAATTTGAAATTGATTTTTTAATTATTTCAATTATTTATTTTTTCATATTATTATTTCAATATTTTATTATTTTTATAATTCTTTCTTGTTGACAAAAAGAAGAATTTAATAAATAAATTTTTGAGTAATTTGAAAAAAAAAAAATTAAAATTAAGGATAAAAAAAAAAACAAAACAAAAATGACATTATTTACAGTTAAACCAATTGAACATGCAGCAAAATTTGATGGTAAAGCATTTATTGTATTTTCCATCGATGATTTTCCACATTTAACTTCGGAGCACGAAGAAAGTTTAAGTTTACGATTTAAAACATCTGCATCATCTGGGGTATCAGTTTTAATTTTACTTTGAAAAAATAAATGAACAATTCTTGAAATTTATTTTTATAATAAAATGTGTTTTAATAATTATTAATTAATACTGATTTATGTAAATTAGTTAGTAGACCAGTTTAATTAATTAATAGTCAAGGTAATTAATGGTGTTTAATTAGTTAATGGATTATTTTAAATAGTTAATATTTTTTGTTGACATCTAATTAACATTATTATAGCCTGCCTGTCTAGTAATATTAAAATGATTTAGTTTTACATATTATACATATATGTATCATAGCTTCACTTTGGGTAGTCTCTTGACCATTTACTTTAAAGTGACCGATTAATAAGTTTTATGAAGCAAAGGTCATTGAATTTTGATATTAAAAATATGTTTCAAAAGTACTATATGGCAATTACATTTATTACACTATGAAAAATCATAATTTAAATTTCAATGGAATAAATGAAATAATAAAAGTAATTTTATAGCTGATTTTTTGGCAAGGTCAACCATTTGGCACACCTTTAAAAGGCGATGATTATTTATCGATTGGCTTAAGTGATGGTCATTTAGTCTTCTCGTAAGTTTAATAAATCCATTTGAGTTTTAAATTATTTAAATTACTTAGATTATTTTAAATAATTTAAATTATAGTCCAATATATGATTAATCTGAATCAGTTATTTATCTCATTTTTCATTTCTAGTACTTTTAATTCTAAACTTTTATTTCATTAATTTTTTGTTTATATTATTAAGTTTGAAGTAATTAAATAATTAGCTAATTAAAGATATGAGCTTGGTGGTGGCGCATCACATTTGATTAGCGCTGAAGTGGTAAATGATGACAAGGAGCATCAGTTACAAATTTGGCGCAAAGGTCGCGAAGGAAAATTGATCATCGATGATGGAGCGCCAATTATAGGCTCATCATTTGGCATTGTTGCTATGCTTAATGTTGATGGCGATGTTTATATTGGTTAAATTTTTATTTAAACTTAAATATATGCAAATTTTGAAAGATTAATATAATATTTTTGAAATAAATTTTTTCTGCTGTGAATTTTAAAAAGTATTTCAAATAGATATTAGTTAGAAGTAAATTAAATAAAAGGCATGAAAAAGAAACGAAATTCGAGAAGTAGTTAATTAATAATTAAATAATTAATGAGAATAAGTATTGGAAATAAGTAATGATTATAAGACAAATTAATATTAGGTATGTTAAAGAGAAAGTAAAAGAAATAATCTGATGATTTGATAGCAGATATAGAAAATAGAAATAAACAAATTGGTGTGAAATAGGTTCTTTCATAGTATATTTCAAATGTTCATTCATTATTTATAATTAAATAATAATAACTAAATAATTATTTAAAAATTAAATAATTAATAAATAAATAAATAATTAATATTTTTTATTTTTTCTAATTTTCCCCAATTTTTTCCTTATCAGCATGATTGTAAGATGAAAAATAATATGTGATAATTAACAAAATAATTTTTATGAATAGTTATTATAAAATTACTGAAATTAAGTTATACTATTATTGGTAGTGATAATAATATATTTGAAATTTATCATTATTTTAATACATCCCACAAAATTTATTCATTATTTTAATACTTTATTAAATTTCGGTAATTTTTGTTTAAAAAAAAATCCCAAAACATTTTTCTCTCACAAAAAAGAGGCAATAAATTACGAAAAAAAGACTTAGTTATTTAATTACTAAATTTATTTTAGGTTTAATTATTTAATTCATTTTTAATTATGAAATGGCAAAATTTATAAAAAATTAAATTGTGTAGTACTTATTTAAATTATTTATTTCGCTGCAAAGAAAAAAAGTGAGAAAAAAAAAGGAAGACTTAAAATGGGAAAAAAAAAAGGAAAGAAGGATAAATTCATTAATTTGTTAATTTCGAAAAGATGAAAAATTTGAAAATGTAAAAAAAAAAAAGGAAGAGAAAGAATGAATGACCCATTTCAGGTGGTGTGCCGGATTTAAATAGTATGACCGGTGGTTTGCATGAGGAAAATTTTATTGGTTGTATTGGTGATATAATATTTAATGGTATTAAAATGGATTTAATGGCAAATGCAATTGATGGACGAAATGTAAAACCGTGTGATCAATGGATGATCAAGAAGAAATGGTTACGGAATGGAAAATATCAATAATTCTGATTGAGAAAATTAAATTTTAAAAAGAAAATTAAAAACAAAAAAAAAGCGAAAGTTCAATTTTTGTTTTTATTTTTTTTTCTATTCTTACAATTATCATTACTATACTGTTATAATAATGATGAAGTAAAAAAGAATAAAAGAAAAAAAAAAACGCGAGAAAGAATAATTTTTAGCAATTAAAATTTAAATCAGATTTTCATAAATTAAAGTAGTCGATTATTATTTTTATTTCTCAAATATATCTAAGTGAATAATTTTTGACAATTAAAATTTAAATCAGATTTTCATAAATTAAAGTAGTGAATTATTATTTTTATTTCTCAAATATATCTAAGTGAATAATTTTTGACAATTTAAATTTAAATTATATTTTCATAAATTAAAGTAGTCGATTATTATTTTTATTTCTCAAATATATCTAAGTGAATAATTTTTGACAATTTAAATTTAAATTATATTTTCATAAATTAAAGTGGTCGATTATTATTTTTATTTCTCAAATATATCTAAGTGAATAATTTTTGACAATTTAAATTTAAATTATATTTTCATAAATTAAAGTGGTCGATTATTATTTTTATTTCTCAAATATATCTAAGTGAATAATTTTTGACAATTTAAATTTAAATTATATTTTCATAAATTAAAGTGGTCGATTATTATTTTTATTTCTCAAATATATCTAAGTGAATAATTTTTGACAATTTAAATTTAAATTATATTTTCATAAATTAAAGTGGTCGATTATTATTTTTATTTCTCAAATATATCTAAGTGAATAATTTTTGACAATTTAAATTTAAATTATATTTTCATAAATTAAAGTGGTCGATTATTATTTTTATTTCTCAAATATATTTAAGTAATGAGTTAATTGTTTTAATAAATAACAGAAAAAAATTACTGACAAACAGAATGTAAGCAAATAGTTTTTACAGTAAGAAAAAGAAAGTTATCAGTTGCATTAATCAAAGTTTTTCTTAAATTTTTCACTTTTTTTTTCTCTTCTTTAAATTCATTTAATTAGATTAAATTTGATGTAAACATTTAAATTTCAAAATTTAAATAATTTGTTATTTTTTTTAAAATAAATGTTAAAATTTTTCTTTATTTTTTATTAAATTAATCAGTTAATTAATTAACCAATTCACTAATCAATCAATTAATGAATTAATGAATTGATCATTATGAATGAGAATCTCTAGTATTGTACATATCTCTTTTTGTCTTTGTTTTTATTTTTTGATTTCTTTCCATTCTTTGCTCAGTCAAATTTAATTAAAATATTCGTAATTTTCATTTCCATTATTTAAATTGACACAATAAATTGCTTTTTATTTTTTTATTTTTTTAAAGAGAAAACGAGAAATGAAAAAAAATAAAAAAAAAAGAAATAAAATGATTCAATTATAAAAAGTTAAATTACAGAGAGAAAAAGATGAAAAGGACAAAGGGAGAGAAAATTTTTTAAGTATTATAATCAAATTTTTGAAATTTGATTTTTTTTTTTTTTTTTTTTTTTGGAAATTTGCAGTACATTAAATATTTTTGGCATTATAATTGAAGTATTTAATATCATTTTAAAATGAGATTTCATTTTCAAAATAAGGTCTCTCCGCATATTTGATATATTCTCACTTATATTAAATAGTAATCCCATATGTTATTTCTCATTTTAACCTTCAAATAAATTTGCTTTCAATAGGATTTGAATATATTAATTAATCATTCTCTTTAGTTTGCCAGTTTTAATTTTCAGTTAAATTTAAATTTGTTAAAATCTGAATATACATATCATCAAAATATTGATTTAAAATATTGGTTAGTGATTTTTATATGTTACAGTAATTGAAATTCTCAATTCAATTTTTATCTGTTAAAAAATATATAAAATTTGAATATATATATGTTAGAATTTGAATACATATACACATATTTGCAGTAGCTCTGCTAGTATTATTAAATATATTAATTCTAAATATAATGTAATTTCTATATATATAAAGTTATCACTTAAGTAACTGATATCATTAAAAAACGTTCTTTCCTGTATTTTGTCTTTTAAATTTTAACATTATTTTTATTTGAATATATTATTGCTAAAGTATTTTCTTTTTTCATTTTTCAAATTTCCTTTCATTTGTTCCAAATTTTTTTTAATCTCATCAATCTCATTACAATTGTTTTTCCCTTTCTTTTGCCACTTTATAGTACAATAATTTTAATCTTTTAGCATTTATCATATCATTTATCACTTTTACTCTGAATGATCTGTGCTATTTTTAATTAGAAAAACATTTCAATACTATTTTGTAAGTAATGAAAAAGAGCTAAAATGATATATTATTTCAAATTAATAAGTGTTAGATTAATGATCCAAGTGTTAATATTTTTGGATGTGATTAATTTTAATTGTAATTAATAACGAATTATAGTTTTTATTGCATTCAAAATATAGAAGAAATTATTTTTTAATGAATTTAAAAAATTTAAATTATGGACTATGATTAATTCTTATTTCATAGTTGTTTTGAAATGTGATAATTTCTAAAAATTAGCAATTAATGATATATTAAATAAGCATTGTAATATTATTTGTATTATTGTTGTATAATCAAATAATTGTGACATTGTTTATTGACCTTTTTTTCATAAAAATTTCACTTTTTACTTAATAATAACGCATGTTTTAGAGTAATTAATTAATTACTTTTTAATGGTAATTAATGAATTATTGGCATCATTGCATTTAATATGATATCAATAATGTAAATTGTATTATTGAAAGGAACTTTTTGATAAAACTGATTAGTAGCAAATGATAATGATAATGCTTATCAAATATAATTGATAAAACAATATATAGACTAAAGAATAGTGACACTGATAAATTGGAGAAAATGAAGTAATTATGATTAATGTAATAAAGAAATGATTACTTTATACTTTTGAATGTATTTCATAAATAATAATATTATTATTAATTAAATGATAAAAGATTTTATGAAATGATGACAGAAAATTAATTAATATAATTGAGATTATTAATATTAATTATCTTATAAAATAAAACTAATAAAACGTTTGGTTACAAAAAAAAAAAAAAAAAAAAAAAAATGATTGAGTAGTTACAATAAAATTCTAAATCAATAAACTGATATTATGTAAATTATTATAAATTTTGAAATGAATAAGTTAATATTATTGCTACAAATTTTGTTCAAACTGTGACAAATCATTTTGGCTTATAGTTTGAATTATATATGAAAATTCAAAAAAATGAAAAAGTGAAAAAATTAAACTTAATAAAGATTATAAAGTTAAAAAAAAAATGATTTTATTATTTTTAATTATCATTGTAATTTTACACGTTAATAAACGTAAACAATCACGTTTTCAACAAAAAAATTTTATATTAGAAAGATAAATTGTTGAGTAATTTAATGATTACATCATTATTTTATCATTATCATTACTAAATTTATTGCTGTATTCATTTAAAAAAGTAATTATAGTAATGAATTTTTTTTTGCTTTTTTTTTTGTTTTTATAATCTTTAAGAATTAATAATTTATAAAAATTAATTTAAATGAGAATATTTAATATATTTTTGAATGAAAAATTGGAAATAAAAAAAAAAAAATACTAAAATGTGAATGAAAAAAAGTAAATAAAAATAGGATTGCAATGTTAATTGATGAAATATGATAAGGTTAAAGTTGAAAATCCCTCCCAAAAAAAAAAAGAATATAATATTTAAAAAAAAGAAAAACTTATTGAATTAGTGAATTACAAAAATTAAAACTTTATTAACATTTGATTAGAAAAAAGCAGGAGAAAAAAAAATGAAACAAATTTTAAAACAAACTTCAATTGCTACTTAATTAATAAATATGAAAAAAATAATAACGGCAAAAAAAAAAAATTAATTTCGATGTGAAAGTATAAAATATCCAAAATTGAAATTTAGAATGAGAAATTCTGTATATATTATTCAAATATATGAAATGAACTCATTACAATATTAAATTATTGGAGAAAATATTTTCTTTTAAAATGTAAACAAACAAAAGCAAAAAATCAAAAATGAAGGACAAAAAACAAAACAAATAATTTTTAATAAAAAAGTTCAAATTTATAAAAAATTTTTATTAAAAATTTTTTCACATATTAAGCAAATTTAAAATAAAGAAAACAGAAAAGCAAAAAAGCAAAAAAAAAAAAAAAAAAACTTCAAAAGAAAGCATTTTTTAAAGTTATATTTTATAAATGTAAAAATTTTTTAGTATAAAAAAAATAAAAATAAAAATGCCATTTCAACTATTGCATGAAATTTTGATATAATAGCACTGATAAGTTTTTTTTTTTATCACATGAAATATTACATCTATATTAGTATCACTGCTATTCACATCACATAATCAAGAGTTTATCATAGCTAATCAGTTAGCATTTTATATCACAACAAAATCATTTTATCATTTTAACAATTTTTATTAACAACAAATTTATATTTTATTATATTGCTGATTAATCGTACATATAATATGTAATCATTTCACTGATATTTAAAATATCTTTCAAAAAAAAAAAAAAAAACAAACAAACAAATTAGTATTTCATTTACAGCAAAAAAACTGGAAAAAAAGAGCAACAGAGAGAGGGAAAGAGAGAGAGAAAGAGAGAGAGAAACGTCATATATACCGGTTACTGAAATGTATTTAATTAAATAATTGCATTAATTTTAATTTTCAAGTTGATAACAATGAATAGTTTTGTATTGAGAACGAAAAATGGAAGTAAATTTTGATAAAAGATGGAAAGAAATTAGAAAAAGAAAGATTAAGAATAGAAAATTGCCGTAGGGCTATGTTAGATTAATTTAATAATAAAAACTAGTTTAAATGATAATGATTCATCCATGTTACATTTTATGATCATTCATGATTTTCTATAATGGAAATTGATTTTCCTAATATTACTTTAACAATTAACCAATCAACCAATCAACAATCGTTACAAATTTATCATTTACAAACATTTCATCCATCGATTTTCATTCATTTCATTCCATTCATTTAATCAAACTGATCAACCAACGAACCAACCAACCAACCAACCAACCAACCAACCAACCAATCAACCAAATAACCAAACAACCAACCATTCAACCAGCCATATCGACCAACCATTCTACGAAACAACTAATCAACCTAAATTCAACTAAACCAACCATATCATTAATTAAACCGACGACCAATTTAATCCATCTATCTATCTATCAATTTTATCAGTATTTATCAGTCTCTGTCTACCAATCTGTCTACTTATCAGTTTTGTAATAATAATAACTTCACTAAAAAAAAATACGGCAGATTACAATTTCTTATATTATTATTATCTGATTTCTTTCTTCTTTTTCTCCTTTTTTTATTTTAATTAATTATCACTAAATTACATAATTATTGTTATTCAGTGATTTTTTTTTTTTTTTGTTTATTTATCAATTTATTCTTTCCTTCCTATCAATGCAATGCAATGCAATAATTCAAAATATTAACATAAAGTTAAATTAAGCACAAATCAAAAAAAAATTTGTTTTTCCTTTAAAAGAAGAAATTATACAAAAAATATTTGCAAAAAATTTTTCCTGAACAAAAAAAAAAAAAAAAAAATAAAATGTTATTTTTACAAATTTTTTCATTATTACTTGCACATATTCCAATAGTAGAAGTAACAACCTTAGCACCAAATCATGTTGCTATTAATTCAAAACGGAAACATATTGACGTTGATACATCATGGCTTGAACCGGAAAAGAAAACTATACAAAAGGTAAATTCATGTTTATCCTTTATTTCGTATATTTTTTTTTTTTTTATTTTACATGAAAAGAATAGGAAAATTGATTAATTAATATTTTCTCAAAAAAAAAAACAAAATTTTGTTAAAAATAAAATTGAAATATTGCAATATATGATAAATATATATGATTACGGAAATAATTGATCGTTTCTTTTTCGAAAAATATTTGATAAAAAATAACAATTGATCATTTTTTCCAGATAATATATGAGAAAAAAATAATAACTAACTATTTAAGAAAAATATTTGTTTAAAAAAAAAAAAATGAACATTGATTCATCTTAAAAATATTATTAAATTCGTTTTTTTTTTTTTTTAAAAAAAGTAAAGTATATAAAAAGTGTAAGTATATTTTTAGAAAAATGCAAAAAAAAAAAAAAAAGTGCGTCAAAAGTGAAATTTGTCAAATTTTCTGCGAAAAAATTCAAAATAATTTAAATTTTTCGGTAAACAATTAAGTGCATTTACTGTATTAAAAACGAAATTTGTCAAATTTTCTTCAAAAGGATTTTAACGCAATCTTTTTTAATATATTTTTTTTTTAAGGTATCATTAGATGCAGATAATCCGGAAAAGGTAATTGTTGATTTGATTAATTCCGGTAAACAATTAAGTGCATCAGCACAAGGTAATATGGCAGTAGCAGAAAGTGACGGACAACGAGCACAGGTACAACGATTTGGTGATAAAGGTGGTATTGCACAAATTGATGGACATAAGTATATTTTTATTCTATTCAGTTTTAAATTAATTCAAATTTAAATGAATATTTTTTAAAAATTCAAAATACTTGAAATTCATTTTTTTTTTTAAAAAATAACTTTATTGTAATGATAATAATAATAATAATAAATGCACATACATTGAAAAATAAATAATTGAAGTTAATAAAAAATGTGATATAATATTAATTTCAAAAATTTTTATTTAAAACATTAAAATTTTAAATTATCCTTTTCTAAATTCATTAACTTAGCTGAGTATTTATTAGTTAAATTTGCATTTGATAAAAAAAAAATAAAGAGTGTCGTGGAATGTATTGACTGCCAGATATTTTATTTTGCCTCAAATTTGGGTAATTAAACCGACAATACAACATTACAACAACGCCTAACGAAAGATATAATTATAAAACACTAAAATAATATCAAAAACCATCCCAAAATGTAGAATGAATAACCGTAATGAAGGATGTTGGTTAGTTTATATACAGAACTGAATTGACAAACCGGATTTCCGGTAGAGGGCATTTCAATGATATGAAACAAAGATTGCTAACAAAGGCTTCTTTATTGTGTGGGAAAAAGGAATTAGCATAATGGCTTAAATGATCTACAGATATCAGACATCTGGCAAAAGTATTGAAATTTGAATGTAATTTAATCGTTTTTTACGATGAAGAGGAAAAAATGAAATAATTTTTTTTTTTTTTTAAATTCTTTTTCAAAGATTTATTTTTTTTTTTTTAGAGGTCAAATAAAAACAAAAGAAGACAGTGAAGGACATCATGCATTTTTGAAAGCTGATGGCAAATATACATTAGATACGGTTGCCCGAGGTTCCTTAAAAGATCCAAAGGATACCGATTTTGCAGCAACCAATGAACGATTTGATTTTGCACTTAATCCACAAAGTCAAAATGAACACGAAGGTACTGGACTACTTTCATATACAGATAAGGTATTTGTTTTTTTTTTTTTCATTTAAATTATTTTCAAATTTATTCAATTTAATTTTATGTTTTAGCCAAAAAAAAAAAAATTTTTTCTAATTGAAAAAATTTTGCAGGTCAATGTTTCTATTTTTTTTTCAGCTTCTTTCTTTTTTTTTTTTTTGTTATTTATTTGATTATTTATGTTTAAATTTATCATTTATTTTAATGGTTATTTAAATTTTTCGATGATTGTTATTGTTTTTGAAAAATCTATACCTTTTAATTTCAAACTTTATTATTTGTTGTTCTGAAATATAATTTTATTTTATCATTTATTATTTCAAATTTTCAATTTAATTATGCATTTTTGGAAAAAATATCGAAATGTTATCTTACTTATCATATCAAAACGCAGTATGAAAACGATTTTTTTTTTTTTTTGCGGGTTATTAGCTATTTAAATAAGTTATAATTTTTTGATTATCATTATTTTCATTATGCTATTATTATTATTATCATTATTATTATACTATTATTACTGCAACTATTATTATTATTATTATCATCATTATTATTATTACGATTACACGTTGAACGATATAATATAAATGATAATAATACTAGTAATATTACGAAAATTAAATTTTAACAGGAAAAACGAAAAAATGGTAAATACGCATATACGATAAAAATGGATAATCGTAAAGTTGATGCTTATCTATCAGCTGATAATATTAACAATGAAGATGAATTTTCACAGTCTTTATTTGGTAGACGATCCGAGAAATACCATTGCACTGGTAGGAACATTTTGATTTTTAAATAATTCCAATTTTTAATATTGCATTTTTATTACTAAAATAACTAAAGATCTAGAAAATGCAATGTTTATTTGATATAAGTGATAAAATATGATGATAACACATTGATAATTTTGTAATATTGATAAAACATTAATTAAAAAAAAAAAAAGTATTTTTAGTTTTTGCAAAATAAAGATTTTCTCAATTTTAAAAATTTAATATTTTTGTATTATTACATTGGTAGGAATATTTCTTTTTTTAAATGAGATATGTATGCATTTGAATGATATAATTATTTGTTTTAAAATGAGTGATAAAATATAATCATTTTATATTGGTAACATTGATGAGTTAAAGTTTTAGGAATTGGCTAAAGTTTATTAATTTATTAAAAATTATTTGAATAAGCATTCGTTTGTTTACAATCAAAAATGTTTATAAGCAGAGAATTTAATGCGTGTGCAATAATTTAGAAATATTTAATTTTCAATTATTTTTTTGTTTGCAAAAATTTTTGAGTAACAAAGTTTACAGTTCAACAATAATTTATTATTAAATTTTATGCGATTTAAAATGCGTATATTTATGAAAATATATTACATCAATCAATATTCATTGTTTATATTTATGTTTATGCGTAATGATTTATTAGTTATTAGTAAAAATAAACATTCTTAATGTATATATGTCATAATAAAATGGTTAATATAAAGTTAGAATTCAATAATAATTAAAAAAGTGTCCAAATAATTAAATATTTCATATATGCAATATTTTGGAAATAAATGTCACATAGCTTGAAAAGTTTATATAATAAACTTTGTTTACTTTATTTTATTGTCATATTGTTTGCATTGTTATGAATTTATTCAGAAAACAATTTGCTTACTTTAATTTGTCATTCTTTGTTTTTGTTTGTTGCTGCTGGTTTGTGGCCGTTGTTGTTATTGTTACGGTTATTGTTGTTGCTGTTCTTGTTATTGTTATTGCTTTTGCATTATTGTTATCGCTATCGCTATTGTTGCGCTGCTGTTATCGTTTAATGTTACTGTTGTTTTTGTTTACTATTGCAGTTGCTTTTGTTGTTGCCGCTACTTTGTTTTCATCCTTTGTTGCCAACGTTTTTGAGTTACTGATGCTATAGTTTTTGTGTTTTATCGTTATTTTTTTGTGCTATTGTTGTTGTTGTTGTTATTATTATTATTATTCTATTGCAGTATACATTGGAAATATTATTAAAAGTAGAATTTAGCTCGGTTTTAACCCAAAATTAAAAACTGGATTGAATTTTATTAAAAATAGGATAAATACTTATGTTACAGTGAGGACATTTCTCACTGAAAAAATATACTTTGCATTCTTAATTGATGTTATAATTTTATAATTAATAAAAATTTTAATTTGTTAAAATTTAAAAAATTATTTAATTTAATCAGTTTATCACTTATCAATAATGATTATTTGTAGCTGAAACGCCAGGTATCTCACAATGCTATGATGCACAGGGCCGTAGTGTGGGTAAAGTTGTAGCTGATAAGTCAGGTAATACTATCATCTACAATGATAAGGATGTGCCTATTGCTACTGGAAGTGTGCAAAAAATTAACAATCATTCTTATCAGGTAGATATTTTTCAATCATTCTTATCAGGTAGATATTTTTCAATCATTCTTATCAGGTAGACATTTTTCAATCATTCTTATCAGGTAGATATTTTTCAATCATTCTTATCAGGTAGATATTTTTCAATCATTCTTATCAGGTAGATATTTTTCAATCATTCTTATCAGGTAGATATTTTTCAATCATTCTTATCAGGTAGATATTTTTCAATCATTCTTCTTCTGTTTTTTTTTTCTTTGATTCAATTGTTTATATTTTTAATTTTTTCTTTTAAAAAAATTTCCGGTATTGACATAAAAATGTGCTCATCAAATGCAGCATTCTTTTGTTTGTTTACGGTAGAAAAATTAATTTAAAGGTGGAAACAAAAAAAGAAATCAAATTTAGAAAAGATTTTTTGCAACGAATTTAAAATGAAATTAAATGTAATAATTTACACAGTGTTGAATCATTTCTTTGTTTATTTTCTGCTATAAAAGCCATTAAATAATAAATCAAATTTTGTAAAAAACATTTTTTTCTTCTACTTTTTTAAAATGTTTTTTTGCTTGTATAAATCTAAAAATTTAAAAGAATTTTAATTGGTTGTTTGAGCGTCATAAATGACAAAGAAAAAACGAATAAAAATATAATTTTATATATATAATAGATTGATGACAATGAACAATTTAATATACAAAAATTAAAATACGATTTTAAATTGTGAATTTTTATTAAATTGAAAAAAAAACTTTGTGATATATAAAATAAAATTATTTTAGGCAGTAATTAGCAAGAATTTATTTATTGCAAAATTGAAAGATGCACGGACATCATCATGTTGTCGTGAAATTACTGGTAAAAATTGTACAGATCCGATCAAATTAGCAAATCCGTCATTCAATCATCCATCGGAACGTGATGGTGATACGTTAAAATTGACGTGGCCTGATTGCGTTGATATGTCAATTGATGTGACATTACCACCAAGTATGTATGAAAATTTTTAGGAATAAAATATTTATAATATTATAAATTGGCATTCACTTTTTTATCTGATTTTTTATCATTCATTTAAAAACAAAAATTAAAAAATGAAAAATTAAATTTTGAAATTGTATTTGAAATAATATATTTTCTCTCGTTTTTTTTTTCGAATATTTATTATTAATACAAAAGTTTTTGTAAAATATATTTTTCTTCTGTTATTGTTGAAAATGAAACAAAAAAAATTTCCGCCCGAAGTTTAATTTAACAAATTTGTAATAATTTTCACGTATTTCACTTTTAGAAGTTCATATTAATCGTCTTGCTATGAAACTTGACGTGATGATACAGCCAATTGGAAAGTTACGCTGCATGGACGTAGCAACGTGTGGACGTGAATGTTATTATTGTGATTGGTGTAAAAATACAAGGTGATATCATTATTCTACTTAAAAACAAATTTAATTTAAAATTATTTGCAAAGAACATACCAAAAAAAAAACATTCATTTTTTTTCATTTTTTAATTTTTTTTTTTTTTTTTGCTAATTAAAATTTTGTTATTTGTTTACTTTTTTTTTATTTTGATCAATTCAAAAGAAAAAATGAAAAATAAAGAAATATTTTTTGATAAATTAAATGAGATTATATCATTTTAAAAGTATAAATGAAAAATATTTGCTAGGATAATTTTAAGAAGTAATAAAATATATCAAAAAATTAGTTATTTTAATTATTTCATCAATTTTTTAATTCTTCGGCAACAACAAAAAAAAAAAAAATTTCTCGCTTTTTTTTTTCTAATTAGTCAAATAATTAATTTTTAGAAAATTAAAATTACTAGAAAATACCGATGGTAATTTATGTCGTTCAACTGAAGAGCGTACCTATCGATTAACTGTTAAATTATGTCCACCACCGGAAGATCCCTTATTTACACTTTGTTCCGCATTTTCAAAATCAGTCTGGCAAAAAGATTATTGGCAAAAGCAAGGTGCTGTTGATATTTGGATGAAATTTTACGAAAGAGGCGAAACAAGAGCTGAGATAAGTTATTTATCAGTTTCTTATCACTTCTCTACAATCTGTGCTTTTAACAGTAATTAACTTTTGTTTTGTTTTATACTAATTAATTTATCAGCAATAACATATTTAAACAGATCAATGTTTTGTAATTGAATTTCAAAAATAAAAAAAATAATAAACAAATTAAAAAATAATAAATAAATTTGAATTTCAAAAAGAAAAATGAATAAATAATTATAAGCGATATTTTCTGATTTTGCAAATTTCAACTAATTTATAATTTCAATGAATTATTTTAAATTGAGAATGAGTTTGAATTAATAATAATAATGTTTAGATGGAAAAGGAATTCTTTGCTCAATTAGATAATCCATTGCTTGGTAAAGCATTTAAATTAGCAATGATAGCTGAATGGCTTGCTGCTAATAGCATTGACGTAAGAATGATTTTTCATTTTACGTTTTGTAACATTTTTATATTATCATATCATTTTTATCAGTCATTGCTATTATTCTTACTACTATTACTATTATCATTATTATCACTATTATTATTATTGTTATTATTATTTATTCGTTATAGTTAAGAAATTTTAACCGATAATGGTTTTATTGAAAAGAATGAAATTTAATTTATGAACAATTGAATTTTTAGAAATGAACTGATAATAATTATAAGATGACATACTGACATAATTGACATAAAAATTGATTCAAAAAACTAAAAAACTTCATACTTATCTATGATTTTCATATTAATTCTAATTAGCTTAATTTGTAATCATCAACAATTTATATATCATAAATCACTTATAATTAATATTCATAGGTAAATCGTTGTAAATAAACAGTTATAATTATCTGTATGGTAGTAATAATTATTTATACTTAAAATATATGTATCAAGAATTAATTATTTCATTGTGGAATAGATTAGCTTAAATTAAATTACATTACTGATAAGGTTTAATTAATTATCAAATCGAGTAGCTAAAATGAAGTTGTATTATTGATAAGATATTATTTCAATAGACTGACGAGAATTAAGTTTAATTATCGATAAGACATTGTAAATGAATTAATTGCAATTAAATTGTATTATTGGTAAAGCGTCATAAATTTTTGCAATAAATTCATTAAAATTAAATTTTTATTATCGATGTGGCATCATAAATTATTAAATGATTTAATTGAAATTAAATTACATTATCGATTAAATATCATAAATCGCACTAAAAAAGTGAATTGTTTAATTTCAAATTTTGCATGACCAGCATATTTCAATTTAATTAATTAATTAATTAATTATTTAATTCATCTTCCTTTTTTTTTTTAAGCAAGGATCATATACTCCAACTAATTCGGAATTACTAGAATATTGGGTTTCGAAACGGGTACCAGATCGTTTACTTGCTTGTCAACATTCTGTTGTTGATTATGAAATTGAAGGAGCTAAAGTGAAAACAAATTTATTATTTGAAGCTGCTACTACAGCTAATTCAGTATGCTTTTTCTTTTTTCAAAAAAAAAGTAAATAAACAAATAAACAATTGTTTATTTTATTTTTTCCTATAATTCTAATTATCTCAGATTTATCAATGCAAAAAAAAAAAAAAGAACAAAAAATCTAATCAAAAATTTTCTTTTATTATTTTTATTCGGCGAATTTAAATTTTAACGCATAGCCCAAATAACTTATAAATTTCTAATAAAAAATTCCAATGAATTTATTGAAATTGAAAATTTTTAAAATTGATTTAGCATATATTTTAATTTAGTTCTTCAAATTTATTCCATGTTTTTTTCTTAAAAAAGTAAAAAAAAAAAAATTTGTCGAGAAAAAAAAGAGAAAAACAAAATGATAATACGCTAATAAAAAAAAAAAGGATGAAAAAACTAATATTTCACAAATATATAAAATAAAATGAAGTATTACTTAATTCTCAAAATAAATGGGTAATTTTTCTTTATTTCTAATTTATTTTAAATTTTCATTTCTTTTTTTTTTCTTCGCTATAGTACATTTATTTATAAAAAAAAATGAAAATGAAAATGAAAAAAACAAATTATTTTTTTATGAAATTTAATAATTTAATCATTTCAGTTACCAAATATATTCAAGGATAAACGATGTAGCGCATTTGAAAAGCTTCAGGAAAGCCGTTTTCAAGCTGAAGCAGCCGAATTTAAACGTAACAATGGCCGATCAAATATTCTTACCGGTCTTGGCAATTTCTTTAGTAATATTAATAATCGTAATGGATGATAATTGTTTAATTAAAATTATTTCAAAATTAATTTTTTCTTTTTTTCTTTGCAATTATATATTTAACAACGAAATTTTTTTTCGACAAAAAAAAACAGAAAAAGAACTTTGCCTTTTCTAAAGTTAAATTAAATTTGTGATAATATTTAAAAGAAAGATATAATCTTATTTAATTTATCATTTTGTCATATTATATAGCATTTTTGTTTCGTCTTTTTTTAATTTTAATTTTTTTCATTTCATTTTAAATAATTTCTTTAACTTTGTTATTATTTCAAAATTTTACTGTAACCTTTGAAGTTTTAATTCGTTTCCATTTAATTATTAAATTATTTCATTTCTTTAGTTACACCTAATTCCATCTAAATTTATAACCATTATTTTCTCTTTTCTCTTGTTTTTTTTTTTTTTTTTTTGATTGAAATGGATTAATTAACAATTAATTAGTTAGGAATTAAAAGTTATCATCCATTTTCCATTGTACATTTAATTGTTCCTAATTTGAATGTATTTTTTGATTAATTATTACTTCAAATTTTTATTTGCAAATTTTTTTTCATTTTTACAGCAATTCACATCCAATAATTTAATTCTTTTCCTAAAATTCCACCATTTTTTTTTTTTTCAAATGTATTTTTTTCTTAGTTTAATTATTTATTGTATTCTTTTTTTTTTCATTTTTTTTTTTTCATAGTTATACTCAAATATTTAGGATTTAATATTTTGTATAATCTTTGAGTGATATTAACTTTGCTAAATACTTGTTATAATTATCAAATATCATTTTATTATCACATATCAAAATATATTTGTATCACTTTCTTACTTTTACAAATTATAGTAATTTTGGAATTGAACAACGAAATTTATAATTTTAATTTAATATAAGTGGTATAAAATTAATTTTTCATCTTTTACAAATACTTGTTATAATTACAAATATCATTTATTATCACATAATTCAATCAAACATTGACGTCATTTGCGCATAAAGCGTAAATGACGTATTTAGCAAGAAAGATTACACAAATCCGAAAAATGTCATTCATATGCTATAGTCAAATATTTCGATTTATGATAATGAATTGAATTGAAGAAAAAAAAAAATAGCTTTTTAAATTTGAAATGAAATTTTATCTGATTGTCTTTACAGTATTTGAAATTTTTTATTGCATTATAAATTTAATTAATCAGAATAAAAAAGCAAAATGAAAAAGAGAAAAGAAAATTGTTAATTAATGTTATATTAAATTCACAATTAATTGTTTAAACTTTGATAATTTCCTAAAATCTAATTAATAAATTAAAATAAGAAACAGAAAATGAAAAATAAAAAAACAAAGAAAAAGAAATTTTCCTTAAGAAAAGCATAAGTTTTTGATTTTTTCTTTAACTTCTCATTATTTATGAATTTTTTAAATTTTTTTGATATTATTAAATTGATTAATTTAAATCTAAACGATTAATAATAAATGTTTGATAAGATAAAGAGTTTAGTGAATTTTATTAAATAAATAGGCGAAGAAAATTTAAATGTTTTTAACTGCTCAATTTTATGATTATGAAGAAAAATTAATTTAACTTTACTTATACCACTCAAAAAAAAAAATGCTCAGTGCTAAATTTTGAGCAAAAAAACTTTGTAAAAATTGATTGACTTTTGAGCAATTTTTTAAATTATTTTTTCTAATTCAAAAATTTTACTTTTTCTTTTCTTTATGAGAAATGAAAAATCGAATCGAATAAGAGAGGAAAGAGATAAGATGGGAAATTTTTTCAAATTTTCTTTTCGCTATTTATATTTTTTAAGTATTAATTTCAAAAATAAAATAATAATGCATGAATTAAAATGCATTGTGGAAAAAATGGATGAAATAAATAATTTCAAAACTAAATAACTAATAAAAAAAAAATTTATTTTTCTAATTTATTACACATTTTGATAAATGAATAATATTAGTACTAATTTAATTAAAATTATTTGATTGTTTGAAGCATTTACTAAAATGTATGAATGATCAGATGACCTTGATGATTTGATGATTGATCATATCATTTATATTGATCATTTCATTTGATCTTAATTCCAACACAAATACAATTTAGGTCAGGAAAGATAGAATGTAAAATATTAGAAGGTTATTTAATCAAGTGGTAAAAAATTTTTTAAAAAACTTATTTTTTTTTTTCATTTTTTATGTTTTAATAAATTGAGCACATAGTATGTAATGACGATAGTGATCATTTCATTTTATTTGATCATGATAATCATAATCAGATATAGTGATCATTTCATTTTATTTGATCATGATAATCATAATCAGATATAGTGATCATTTCATTTTATTTGATCATGATAATCATAATCAGATATAGTGATCATTTCATTTTATTTGATCATGATAATCATAATCAGATATAGTGATCATTTCATTTTATTTGATCATGATAATCATAATCAGATATAGTGATCATTTCATTTTATTTGATCATGATAATCATAATCAGATATAGTGATCATTTCATTTTATTTGATCATGATAATCATAATCAGATATAGTGATCATTTCATTTTATTTGATCATGATAATCATAATCAGATATAGTGATCATTTCATTTTATTTGATCATGATAATCATAATCAGATATAGTGATCATTTATTATGATAATTATGTTACACACGATGATTATTTCATTTTATCTTAATTTTACCACAATTACAATTATTATCTAAGTCAGAAAGATACAAAATGTAAAAATTTTAAAATTAATTTAGTAAAAAATAGAATGCAAAAAATTTTAGAAAATTTATTGCTTTTCATAATTTGATTAATATTACTATTAATATTGTTTGATTTATTGCTTAACTGACTGAATTGTTTATTTGTTATAATATTTCATACTTTCACTGATAAGATTATATCTTTTTGAGTTACTAATAATTTATCGATTTCTTATCGATTGTAATGATAAAAAAAAAAGACTGTGATTCCTTATCACAAAACTATATGCTTTACACTTTTTGAATTAATCAATTTCTTTGTTATTATCATATTATTTTTATTATTATCAATTATTATTATTATTATTATTACTGTTGTTATCATTATTTTTATTATTATTAATAACCAAAAAAAAGATTTAACTGCATTAATTTATTTGTTTATTTATTTACTTCATTCTTTGTTATGGCATACATAAAACACGAATAATTTGCAATAATATTTTATTTATGTAAATTTTTTATTTAATTAATTCTTATTAATACTCTTTGTTCATCGCTTATAATTTCAATTTTTATTAATTTATTTATTATTTTCTTTTTTCGTTTTTAATTCAAAACAAAATTCTTATTATTTACCTACGACTTAGTCGTACAATATTTTAAAAAATAATTTTAGCAAGAAAAAAAAAAAAAAAAAGGAAATTAAAATCAAATATTAATTCCTTCATTTTATTCTCATTGTTATTCATCGCAATTGTCAAAAATGAAAATCAATGAAATTATCATTTCGAAAGTTTCTCATTCCATATCATATCAATATGTAAACAATTATAAATGAGTCATTCATAAAATAGAAGAAAAAAAGAAATGAATCAATTATCAATGATAAGGTTTAAAGTGTGAGATAAAATAACGAAAGTGAAAAATAATAAATTAAGTTTAAAAATTATTTTTTGGAATTAGAAATGAACAATTATTAATTTAACTAATATTGGTTATCTTCCTATTTCCATTTCATTTCTCTTTTTTTTTTTTTTTGCTTCATTTTGTTTTTAACTTTTGGTTTTTGATTTCTGATTTTCAGTTAAATTGATTTCACTGATAGAAAATGATAAAAAAAAAAAAATGGTAAAATAAAATTAGTTTTGTATTTATTTGATTAGAACGCTTTTCCATCTTTCGTTTTCTTTTTTCCCATTTTTTTTTTTTTTTTTTTTTTTTTTAATGAGCGAATTATTTTCTCATTGATTATTTATCATTTATTATTCGTTATCATTCCATTAATTTTGTTAGGAAATTTTTTTGTTTTTAATTTTTTCTCGTTTAGATAAGGAATTGAACAAAAAATTTTAAAAAAGAAGAAAAAAGGTGAAAAGGAAGGAAAGGAAAGATTAAGCTGTAAGCATTGAGGAATGATAATGATAATATTAATAATGATGATAATAGTGATAACAATATTGATATGATGATTAATAAAAGTTTTAAATGTGTCATCATTTCGTGGCCAATTTCAAAATTTTGTTTGAATGCTGACACTTTTTAATTTTGTCATTTATTTTTCAGTTTTCCAATTTTTCAAATTAGGCATTTTTCTTTTTGAAATTTCAATAGTGGCAATTAATTGTTCACTTTTTAATATTGAATATTCATTTCTCAATTTTGATTGACCATTTTCTTTCAATTTCCATTATTGATTACTTTTTTTTCTTTGGTAAACTATTTATTTAGTAAATTGAGATCGATGCATTTAATCAAATTAAACATATTGCTTATTGTATGTGATAATTGACTGATGAAGCAAATGATGCTAATTACATCATTTTAAATTAGAAGCAGTAAAAAGACTTTTCATAAAAAAAAAAATTTCGAAAAAAAAGAAAAACAAATGCTAGTGTCATCAATCAGTCACAATCTTGTAAACATTAGAATAGCAAGTGATAACAATGATAATGATAGTAAATGATTAAGGGACAAAACTGGCAGCAATGATGGCGATGGATGTAATAATAATAGTAATTAATAATAATAATATTAATAATAACGATAATAATAATAATAGTAATAATAAAAATAATAATAATAAATAAATAATCAAATAAATAAAAGGAAAAAGAAAAAATCGATGATATCGATGAAATTATCAAGTTGAGTAATTATCAATTGATTGAAATTTAATAATGATAATGTATCATTAGCTGATAATCAATATCGATGTGTCACCAAAACATTATTAGTATCAATTAATTAGCAATGATAGAAAATGAAAGATGACA